AGTCTGTGCTCTGGGCAGCTCTTTGCTGTGCATATGTTCATGTGAGAGGCAGATTTGCTACCTCAGGTGGCTTGTACTCCTGAGGGTCTACAAGGCAGTGCAGGAAGAGGGGTGGAGCAATAAGGATGTAGGTCTGGTGTTGTGAAGAGCTACAGGGGCAGCTTAACATGGCAAATACTCCATTTCCCTTACTAATATATGAACCCTAAGAAGATGATGAATTCTGGGCTTTGTTGTAACATGTGTGTTTGTTTATAGCAATTGAGGAAAGGCAACTCTCATAAGGCCAGACTTCTTTCTGCCTGGTGTGTGTCTCAGGCAGAATTTCATCCTTTGCAGGCTGCATCAGCAGGGTGAGAACCTTGCTGTCACCTACATCAATGAGCCCAAGGCTAGCAAGAGATTCTTTTGTGGACTGTGGTCTTGCTAGAAAAGAGGGTGAAGTTTATTTTGGTGCTCAGCCATTGAGGAACCTGAGCACTGAGCACTAGGGATGCTGTTGTGTTATCTAGCTGTCCTTTTAAGTGTGAATTCTATAGGGTAAGAAAAATAAATGAGGTATTAAGAGGTTTCTGGAATTAAAGATAAATCAGGACATGGAAACAAGTGGTTAGGAGAACGCTGGGGCTGCTTTGCCTCTAGAACAGCAGTGTTGCATTAACCCAAAACTTGTCCATGCACTGGTTTGGTTTAGCAAAGAGCTCAGATCTCCCCTGACAACAGTGTAGCACAGGTTGTCAGGTAATGCAGGTAATCTACACCATTAATGCAAGATTCCCAGTGACAGTAACGCAGCACTTTAACCTGCCAGTGCGGAATTGAGGCAATCTGTGCTCCTACCTGCATTTTCATCCTGCTTCATGCCAACAAGACAGCTGGGCAGCTTAAATAAACACCCCCTATGCTTTGAAGCAGACCTTCTGTTTAACTGCCCTGCAGCATTTAGCTGCCTCCCAGCTCCCACTGAAAATCAGAATGTGTCTGTCAGATTCACCATCAAAGGGACACGTCTGTGAGAGTGAGATTGGAGACACCCTTGCATTCTCTTTGCACTTGTTCTCTCCTCTTGGTATTTTGCCTACAGATGAAAAGGTAAGATGCTCTTTATAGCTCTTTTGAGTTGTTCTGAGTGATGTCTTAATCCAGCTGGTTTGCTCTGGTTCTTAAGGGGAAAATCCTAGGAAAAAAGCAAAGACCCCAGAGTCTGGCAAAAAAGCAAATGACCCCATGCAGAGCTGTATGTTGCTATTTGTTGTAGTAGTTTGGAAGAAGAAGATATTAAATTTTTTTTAAAAGATTTAGCTGTCAGTCTGGTTTTTCTTTGTTCCAGGTAGCTGCCAATAAAATAGTATTTCTAGTGTTATGCCTTCGCAAGTGAGCTTCCCAGTGCCTCCTAAATCAGCCCTCAAGGAACAGTTTATTGTCTTTTATGGCCAGTAGAAAGACCAGCTTTTTGAAAACTGCATGAAAAGAAAGCCCCTGTGCTGCCTGCCTCTTTCCAGGGAATGGCTGCACAGAAAACATGTTCCCAGGCTATGAACAGCAACAGAGAGGAATCTTGGAAAGGCAGGATTGGCTAGTGAGTGCATGAGCAGGGATTTTTCAATTAACAGGATGAAGGCATCTCTCTCTTAACTCCAGAATGCTGGGCTGCTGTGATGGTAAAGTTTCCACTGACTCAAAATTCTCCATATCTGTCTCTCAGGCTGAAAGAAAAGGGGAAAGGAAGAGCCCAAGCTGCTCCTAGTGCATCTTGTGTCAACTCCACAAAAACTGGAGTCAGAATTGGCCTGAAAGGCTGTTCCCTGCTACCCTTCACAGGCTGCAATGGCTGGTGTCATGGTTTGATACTGGCCAAATGCCAGGCACCCACAAAGTTGTTTGCTCACCCTCTTATGCTATAGTTGGGCAGAGGAGAGAGAAAAAAAAGTTAACAAATTTAATTGAGATTGAGATAAGGACTGTGAGGAAAATACTCTAAGGGCAAAACAGGTTCAAATTTAAAGGTATAAGGTAAATGTATTATTAACAGAGTCAGAGGAGGATAACGAAAAGTAAAAGAAGTCTTTAAAACACCTTTTCCCCTCCACAGCCCTTCCCTCTTTCCCACCAACAGCACAGGGAAACAGGGCATGGGGGTTTTGGTCAGTTTGTCACTCAAGGTCTTCTTCTGTTCGCTCAAGGAGAGGAGTCTCCTCTCCCCTGCCGTGGGTCCCCTCCCACAGGCAACAGTCATCCCAAAACTGTTGTGGTGTGGGTCACTCAGCCACAGGCTGCAATCCTCAAAGGAGAGGCTGCTCTAGTTTGGGAGCAGGGCATTCTCTGTCTCTGGAAGCAGGGGCCCTCTCTCTCTCTCTCTCTCTCTCTGAAAGCAGGGGCTCTCTGTACCTGGAAGCAGGGCCCTTTCTCTGTGTCTCTGGGAGCAGGCGCTCTCTGTCTCTGGAAGCAGGGCCCTCTCTCTGTGTCTCTGGAAGCAGGAGCCCTTTCTCTGTGTCTCTGGAAGCAGGAGCCCTTTCTCTGTGTCTCTGGGAGCAGGGCCGTCTCTGTGTGTCTCTGGGAGCAGGGCCCTCTCTCTGTGTCTCTGGAAGCAGGGCCCTTTCTCTGTGTCTCTGGAAGCAGGGGCTCTCTGTCTCTGGGAGCAGAGCAGGGGCTCTCTGTCCCTGGAAGCAGGGCCCTCTCTCTGTGTCTCTGGAAGCAGGAGCCCTTTCTCTGTGTCTCTGGAAGCAGGGGCTCTCTGTCTCTGGGAGCAGGGCCCTCTCTCTCTGTCTCTGGGAGCAGGGCCCTCTCTCTCTCTCTGGGAGCAGGGGCTCTCTGTCCCTGGAAGCAGGGCCCTCTCTCTCTGTCTCTGGAGAGCAGGAGCCCTCTCTCTGTTCGGGTCTCCTGCTGGATCACAGCTTTCTCTGCCACCCACCCACTCCACTGTGAGCACTTTTCCGACAGGCTGTGAGTGGATCTCTGCATGCCCCGTGGACCTCATGCATTACAAGGGGACAGTTTGTTTTACTGTGTCCTCACCACAGCTTGAGAGGAATCTGCTCTGACACTTGGAGCACCTCCTTCCCTTCCTTTTTTTCCGCTGTCCTTGGTGCCGCCATGTTGTTTTCCCTCACATGTCATTTCCTCCTCTTCTCCGACTAGAAGAAAACTGCTGCTCATTGCCAACAAGTTCCACCAATTCAGAAATTCTTGCAGGGTCTCGCAGTGCTGAGAAGCTGATCTCATCTGGTTTCCACACTGTGGAGTCTCTCTCTCTCGCCGTGTCTCCGCTGCCGGCCAGGCGGCCCCGCTGCCATCGCGGGGCAGTGGCGGCCCTGCGGCGCTGCCGCTGTTTAACACCTCTCTCCACGTAGGGCCTGGGAAGGAGAAGCCACTGCAGCTGCCCCTGCCCTTCTGCCTGAGGCACGGCCAGCTAGCGGCAGCCAGGAGGGCACGGCTCACCACGGGCATGCCGAGATGGCCGCAGTGCCTCACCACCCCTGGAAAAACTGTGCTTGTGCTGTTTTGATTTTCTTCTTAAATATGTCATCACCGAGGTGTTACCAACCTCTCTAATTGGGCCAGCAGCATGTCCGTCTTCAGAGCCATCAGAGATTGGCTGTCGGACATGGTGGAAGCTTCTAGCAGCTTCTCACAGAAGCTGTCCCAGTGGCCCTCCCCACTACCAAAAACCAGGCTGTGCCAAATCAACACATTGGCCAAGCAGAAAATCACCTGGAGGAGGGAGTATGAGCCCTTGTGATTAAGCAGCAAAGTGGTTCTCCTGGTGAACAGATGGAAATCAGGTGCAGCCAAGTGCTGAGGTGCAGAAAAGACTGAGATGAGGTTGAGTGAAAAGCTGTGGCTGTAACTCTGTGACAGTGTTTCTCAAAGGTGAGCACAGGCCTGGTTTTGTGGCAGGCAGTATCCCAGAGAACTCTGTTTTTAAGCATGTCTTCATGCTGTCCAGAGAGAGTGGGACAGTCTGGAAAAGCTGTGCTAGAAATGCTGCAAATTCCTTCCCCCATTTTGTGGGAAAGGACAGGGGAGAATGACTGAATAACTTAATTAGAGAATGCTCTGATTTGTACAGGGCGCAAAGCCACAACGTCCCAAAGCCATGTCTTGTAACACAAACAAAAGGATGAAAGAAGACCCTCAAAAATATGACAGTGAAGCAGAATGAATGAGAACAGTCTGCAGCCCCTGTGCTGGTGAACTCAATGAAACTTAGTCTTGATGTTCTTGGGACATAAATTACCCTCCCAGTGACAGCCTTGCCTGGTGACCTGTGCAGGATCAAGGAGGTAAAGTGGGACAAGCTAAGGAAACCTCAGTCTGCCTCTGCCCCTTGGTCCTTTAGACCAGCATCCCCTGCTCTGCTGACAGCCTTTTTATTTCCCTGCTATGCCATGGGCTATCAGCACAAAGTCTCCAGCGTTTTTTTTCTTTCTTTGACCAATTTCCACCACCCTGAAGCAGTATGCAAGCACCTGTAGAAGTCTCTGTCCTGAGCTGCTCAGGGCTGTTCCTGGTCCTGTGTGGCCACCATCTGCCTCCAGTTCTGTTCATTTTGACATCTTCATTGCAAGAAAACCAGCTGTGAGGAGGGGCCAGTGCCCCTAGCCCAGGATGCCAGCCTGGCAGCTGGTATTGTGCCAGGCTTAAGAGCTGTGGGCAGGAGCCAGCCCCCCCAGCCCCTCAGATGGTGGGCTGTGAATAGGAGGGTAGGGGGGGTAGTGGGGAATCAAAGGGAAGTGTCCTACTGATTGATGACCTCATTTGCACATGAAACTGGGACCTCTCAGCCCTGCAGGCCCTGCACTTGTGTCTCAGCTGCTGTAACCAGGGCTGGGAAAAGAGGAGATAAGATAAGAAGAGGGAATAACTTGCTTCCACCTCAGGACACCATAATGGTTTTTATCTAAATATCCTAGGACTGAATCTTGATGGCCTTTACAGTTCCTAAATGTTGGTTGCTTTTTTCCCCCCCCTTTTTTAATTGCAGGTGAGACAGAGCACCCATGATTATGGAAACTTCTTCCACCTTCTCTTCTTTCCTTTTCCTGTGTGTGCTGGTTCTTTCAGACATCAGTCTTGCAATCTCCCTGAAGCCTGGCACAAAGCTCAAAAATGCCCCAGAGAACAACCACCACCTTCAAAATCAAGAGATGTGGCTGCAGCAGCCCAGAACTGGGCGCCATCACAGGCAAGGCTTGGCCAAGAAGGAGAGGGCCCATACCATGGCTTCAAGAGGGCAGCTGGCTGGGGAAGAGACCCTCAAGATGGGCAGTGGAGCTTCAGCTGTGGAAGAGATGGTGGCAGAGGGACAGCCAGCAGCCCTGAAACAGAATAAGGACGTGTTCCTGGGGTTTGAATTGTCATATCCTGAGAGGGAAAACCAGTCCCCAGGCTCTGAGAAAGGAAAGAAGCAGAACCGAGAACATCGTCGACACAGCCGCAGGGACAGGCTCAAACATCACCAAGGTATTTGAGCTCTGAGGGAAGCTGGGGCTGTTGTGTCACTGGAAATGAGCATCTCTTGTGTGAGGGCAAGAAGATGCAGCTGTGGTGGAGCCACATGGGTGTGTGGAGGGTGTGGAGTGTGTGCCTGCTCTGGGGAGAAATCTGCCAAACAAAAGAGGCACAAGAAAAAAGGGGAACTGCAGAAGCAGAATTTTAGTGCTGGCTGCAATTTTGTGAAAATGGCCTCGTTTGTCTTACAGGGGGAGCTCTGAGAGACCCTAAGACTTGAGGGGCTGTTTTAGGGTGGTCTGTTTTGTTGTTTTTATTTTCCTTTTTAGCAAATGGCCCAATTTGGGAAAAAGTATGTCCGAGCCATGCTCAATCTCTCCACTGACTTCAAAAAATTATGAGAATTAGAAAAAACACAACCCCCTTATTTTGCTTTGAAGACCAGTTTATTCTCACCAGAGCTTGTACTCTTCTATATTTATGCTGAACAACAACAAAATGCAAATTTTGCATATGTGAAATTGCAGTGATAACTTTAAAATGTTGATTGATTTTGACTGGGACTGCTTTCCTCTGCAGGTCAAGTTGTGGGTGTATGTTTCTGTGGTATGAGCTCAGTGTGGTAAACCTTGAGTTCTGTTAAAGTGAGGGAATTTGTGTCAATCTACACTATGTGACAAGCTGGGTGTCACGTCCTTGAGTTCCATCCTTCACTCCTCCCTGCCTCAGTAAAAAGAACTCTATTGTTTTTTTCAGAGGACTGACTAAACAGTTTGTGTTAGCAATATAAAAGAGTATGCAACAAAGCTTGTTTGAAGCAATATTTGCAGCCTACAAACAGGGCTTATTTTTTGAGGTTAACTTAAGGTCTATATTTAAATTAGTACTTATGAAGAAGAGGGACATATCTGTGAAGATAATTTCAAGTTAGGTAAATCCTGACTTGAGCTAAATTGAAATAACTCACTAGTAAAATCAAATAAGAATGTATTCACAGGTATTTGCAATAGTTTAATCCGTTGGTTTAAAAATGGTTAAACAGGTACATTTTGTACTTTTGAGACTAGAAAAAAACCATGTTTTGCTTCTTAAACAAGAGAGACATATCTTCAGGGAGGTGTGATTTTGTATGTCTTAAGCATGCAAAAATCAAGCTGCATATACTCTGGACCTGATTTATCACTGTAATAGCTCATTACTCTGTTATACAGTGGTCTAAAACAGCAGCTCAGGATCATGGAACAGTGGTTGGCAGCTGGATGAAACATGAATTCCTTTGACTCCAATCTGCCACATGGAGAAAAGGGATGAGAAAGGTAATGCCACTGTACCTGTTGCCCTCTGCAGGGAAGGCTCCTGATGCTGGGCCAAGCTCCCTGTACAAGAAACCCAAAAGCTCTGAAGAACAGTTTCAAAATCTTCAGGCAGAAGAAGCTACAAGTCTGACTCCCACCATGCTCCTCATTGCTGCACTGGACACAGCTGTTTCCACAGAAGAGCCTCCTGTTCTTCCAGCCACTTCACCACGGTCACAGGTAAAGAGACAGCTGGGAACTCTTCTGTACCTCCAAGCCTTGCCTCTCCCTCAGCTATCCAACTTCACTGAGTTTCAAGGACCAGAGAGACAGTAGGAGCACCTGACTGAAGAGCCAGCATGTCCTAACACTCGTTGCTTACCTTTTGTTCTCACACAGAAGCAGTAGAAACTTCCTTCTTGGCTTCAGCCTCAACAAGGGAAGGTTCTTTGCTTTTGAAAATGAGATGCCAGGAATCCCCAGTGGATAAGACAGGAGTGGAGGAGGGGAGGGGCAATCATAAAGCCTTTTTTAATGTAAAGCACCATGAAAATTTGCAAAGACTTCAGTGTCTCTACAGAAGTGTAATCTGTTGTCTGTCTGTTTTTTTTGTGGTTTGCAGGCCCGCCTCAGGCAAGATGGGGATGTGATGCCCACCTTGGATATGGCACTCTTTGACTGGACCGATTATGAGGACCTCAAACCAGAAATGTGGCCATCTGCTAAAAAGAAAGGTGCTAAACCTCCCTGTCCTCTTTCCTAAAAGTCATCCAGTAAGGCTTGTCTATGGTTAGTATTCATAGGTGTGCTGAAGGACATGAGATCATAGTGGTGAGGGAAGAGAGAAGTAGCATAATGCTGATTGAGTTTTGTGCTCAGTTTCAGGATGTTTCTCATTTTGGATGCATATTTGGAGGGCAGAGTAAAAATGATAAATGGAGAGTGGAGAAATAGGGAGGAGATTAAATTATGAAGGTTTAGAGTTCAAACTCTTGAAATTTGAGGCTGTTTTTACCCTGGAAAAATATACTCTCCAAAATGAAAATACTAGTGTGAAATTTTCTATCAGCATCTTTTTTTTTTCCATAGAAAAACGCCGCAGTAAGAGCCCCAACAGTGTAAATGAAACCACAACAGCTGAAGGAGAGCCATGTGATCACCACCTTGACTGCCTCCCAGGTCAGGATCAGCTTGGCAGAGTCATTTCTCCAAACAAGGGATGTTTGAAATCTAGCCCAGGTTTTAAGACATGCATTCCAATTTCTACTAGTGACAGGAAGTGGTATGCAAGGGAAGGGCAGAGGTTCTCTAGGCGTGTTGTGGGGCCAGATGATGTCTGTATGATGGAGCTGGCATGAGTGTCAGCAGCCCTGCAGGTAAGTGGATACCTGAGCTGTGCTGACCCCTGGTCCTGTGTTGCAGGCTCTTGCTGTGACTTACGTGAACACCTCTGCAAACCACACAATCGAGGCCTTAACAACAAGTGTTATGATGACTGTATGTGCACTGAAGGTGAGTCCAGCTCTTTGCTCCCTGTCTTGGTTTAAAAGACAGATGTCTGCAAGGAAGGCAGGAACCTCCCTTGGAATGAAAAATATGAACCCCTTCCCTCCAAATTAGTATAGCTTTGAAATTATGGGGCTTTCAGGCAAAGATATGAGGAAAGGAATAACAGTTCTTTACTATCTATATATATAGATATATATATATCTTTATATCTATATATGTATATAGATATATCCATCTATATATATAGATATATCTATGTCTTTTATATATATATCTTTATATCTATATATCTACATCTGTGTATAGATATATATATCTATCTATATAGATAGATATATTTATGTCTTTATATCTATATATAGATATATCTATATATATATAGATATAGGTATCTTTATATCTATATATAGATATGTAGATATATCTATATATCTTTACTATCTATATACATATATATCTATAAGCATAGCAAGACAAACAATCAGCAGCGATGCAGCAGCAGCACAGAGCAGCACAGACCCAGCCCAGGCTCCGCGGGCGCAGGCGCCGCTCCCTTGGTGCAGTTCCGCTCACAGCCAGCAGGGGCGCTGCTGGCTCCCGGCGGGCAGGGCGGCTGCGATGATTCCCCCGCGCCTGCAGGGGGCGCTGTGGCGGCTCCGCGGTCTCCCTCACGCGGCTGTGGCGGGTGGGCCGGGCAGAGAAAAAGGGGCTCCCGCTGCCAGCACGGGGGGCAGCTGGGCCCAGTGCCCCTCCACACGGCAAAATGGACTGCAGTAGGAGCCTCAGAGCTGCAGGCTGGAACAGCAGGGGCAAGCAGATCCCTCAGGGCGGCACATCGAATTGTAGACTAAGCCACGAGCAGTGGCAGAAGCAGAAGCAGTATGGGGTCTTGGTGGACACTGGGTGTTGGGCTAAAGTGTGGCAAAATGCCCAAAGCAGCAGTCTTGGTGGACGCTAGGTATTGGGATAAAGTGTGGCAAAATGCCCAAAGCAGTAGCAAAAAACTGCAGGGGCTGGACGGGGGAAAGGTACTTGGCACTGATCACTGGTGAGGAGCACCCGGGCGGGGTCCTGGCACAGCACACACCGGCTCTGGGCTCCTAAGTGGCAGAGGAGCAAGCTGGCAAGGCCTAGTCTGGACGGGGGAAAGGTACTTGGCACAGATCACTGGTGAGGAGCACAGCACACACCGGCTCTGGGCTCCTAAGTGGCAGAGGAGCAAGCTGGCAAGGCCTAGTCACAATGCCAAAGAGAAAAAAAAAGGAAGAGGGAAAAAAAGAGAAAGGAAAAAAACACAGGGCAGCAGAATCTCAGGTCAGACCCACAGTACCGTGTGGCTGCTGAGCCAGTCACCCCCACTGGAAGGATCAACCCTCGCAGGATCCCAGGCTGCCTCTCACCCATCATTATATTCCTGGAGCTGGGGAGGCAGTGACCATGCTGGACATGAAACAAAAGCAAAAGCAAATATGGTTATGGGATATAAACCATTCCCAAGACACTCCCCAACTTTGTAGTGCTGACTTGGAATAGTGGTTTGTATGTGAAAGCAGGAGCCAAGCTTTCCTGCTCTTAGCTTCTCTCTGCCACTGACTCATAGTGTGAATATTAATTCTTCTAGGATAACTTGTTTTCTCTCTTGAAAACAAAGATCCTGATGTCTACCAACCTAACAGAAGAAGCCACAATATATTAACATTTCAGTGGTACTTACAAGTATCACAGACTATGAAATCACTGTTTTGTATGACCTTGTGCCTAACATGACTTTCCCAAGTTAATTTCAACTGAGCTTGTAACAATTCAGTAGATGTGGGAAGGACTCAGGCTTTTGTTTCTTAAAACTATTTCTGAGGAGTCCACAGCAGTCTTTACTAGGCAGGTGCATTATGAAAGTGTTAAAAGGCACTCTTCTAGTCTAAACATGTTCAGGATCAGCTCCAGGCACTGAGTCTTGCCTGCCAGAACAAAACTCTGTTTGCCAAGTTTTGTGACCTGCATTAGGTACCCAGTGATTTGACCAGGCTGTTTGCCTACTTTTAACCCAGTTAAATGGGCAGCTTTCCTGGAGCTGCAATGTTAAATGATAGTCATCACCTTGGGCACGTTGTGTAACACCACAAGGTCCTAATCAGAGATGACCTTCTGATAGATTAGCCTAGAAACATGTTTCTGCAATCCTTAATGAGGCTGCCCCAGGCCCTGCTTTATCCTTAAGCTAGTTATAAGTTGATAGCAAATGTGCATCCTGTGTAGCATAAAAAAGATCCCCAGAGAGGGAAGATCCAGGTAAGATAGACAAGAGGCTTAGATAAGAGTACAGCTCTGATCATGCATGCTTCCCTTTTAGGAGGCCAGTTTGCCCTGGGGTGATTGGTAATGAGGGGCACAAACCCAGCTTTTTAAGGTAGCTGGTCTCAGTGTTGCCCAGGGACATAATTCCAAAGAACTGATATGTGACATCATCTGGATCTCCAATGTACTACCAAGGAAAGTTTTAAGCTGTCTTATTACAAAAGCTATAAATCCTCTGCTGCCTGCTCTAGAAGTTGAAAGAGCTGCAGTTTCTAGAATGATCAAATCAGCTCCTGCCAACCCCAATGACAAGATCCTGCACTACTGAAAAGCAGGGTTTTCATGAGAATTATTTACCTACAGGCTATACTCTGTCTGGCCCAACTAGATACACATTCTGGTGTAACAAAGTCAGACAAGAAACACCGTAAAATCAACCTCTTGGAGCCAAAACCAAGTAGTTACCATGACCAGAGGCTCCTGTTACCTTCCACTACCATGGGAGAATATGTACTCATGGTTTTTACAAATAAAATGTCCTTTTTCGCCCTTCATACTCACCCGTGCTATATTAGCTAGCTTCCTTCAGACTGTGCACATTTTGCATCTAAAACAGAGAAATTAAAGGAGATGAGCAGTGGGCTTTGGATCAGACCTCCCAGTAATAACACTTCACAGTCTCTTCCCTTCTCTCTTGATGCTTCAGGGAAATAAATAGCAAGGGGAGGTCCCTAGTCATTGCTGCTGCACATTAAGTCTGTAGTAATTTCCCAATGGAGAGATTACTTAGACAGTAATGGGAAGTAATAGGAGGAAACCAAGCAGGGCTTCCATAAAATCACTGGAAACAATTGGAATAATTCATTGGTATTTCAAGAATCCTGGGAAACCTGACTGAACAATCCCTGACTGAATCCCAAACCAGAACAGTGAGCCAAACAGAACACCAGTGCCCAGAGAGCAATACGCCTTGTCTATGTGAGGCATTTCTCTCCCACCCTATTTGACACAGCACTAGGACTGTCCCCAGTGCAGCAGTATCTGAGGCAGAGAAATAGTTGGTGTTACTGCTGGAGTGAGCCCTGGTCCATCATCACTTCTACACATTGTGAAAAACGCCAATCACTTGTTTTTAAAATTGTAAAAGTTTAATAGTAATAAAATGGTCATAAAAATAGTAATATAATTAGAGTAATAAAAATTTGAACAATTAGAATATAGGACAATATGAGACAATAAAAACAAAGAATTATAGATGGTCCTGCCTTTTTCTGGGGAAAATAAGCCCAAAAAAGGACCCACGTTAACAGAGGATTAACCCTTAAAAGGAATAGCCTGTTGCATATCCATATCTCACACATGATGTGTAAATCCATTCAAACAAAGGATTCTGTCTGGTCAGTGTCAACTTCTTCCTCTGAATCCTGATGGCATCTTCAGGGCTGAGTGGGGCAGGGAGAACTCAATACAAGAGCAATAAATTCTTTTTCTCTGAAAGATTTAGGTGTCCTGTGGCTGCTATCTGGTGCGAGTCCTCTCTTTAAAAAAGTATTTTACATAATCACAGTTTATATTTTAACATTATGTTATAACCTGAAATTATATTTAACACACTACTTAAGAAAATTAACACAGCATATCTTCCTAACATAACCCATATAATATTCATTTTAATATTTGCAAAAAGCCAATCATAAAATACACATTTTTCACAACATCTTTTCCATAGGGCTGCGCTGTTACGCCAAATTCCACCGGAACCGAAGAGTGACGCGGAGGAAGGGGCGCTGTGTGGAGCCTGAAACAGCCAATGGAGAGCAGGGATCTTTCATTAATGTTTAGGAGGGTGGGACTCCTGCCTGTATGGTCAGGAGCTGGGGTGAAACTGTTTATACCTAGCAGTGGGAATTAGAGGAAAAAGCTGAGCAAATGATGGAAGCTGCAGGCCGTGAACATGCCAGGTCCCAGCTAGACTGAAACTCATGTTCATTATAAATACAGTGGCATCAGCCTTTTCCACAGCAGGACTGCACTCCCTGTCCCTTCCTTCAGCACATTCCCACCACTGAATTGAGTCCCTCTCCCCTAGTTAGTAAGCAATGATCATGACTCCCATTCTGATGGTCCTGGCAGGAAAAGGCTCTGCAGTTTCATCTTCTCCCAAGAGAGGCAAGATGTGGAAGATCCTTCAGGGCCAAGGGGATATGAGCTTAAACTTTACCCCTTAATTATTGCTTGAGAATAAACTAGACAGATCCTCCTTAAGGACTGGAAGTTCCTAGAGGAGAGGAAATTTGTAGCATCCAGATGGAATCAAAGATGGGAAATGGATCAGGTGTGTGCCTAGGTGAGAGAGGGCCCAACAGACTACCACTGCATCTTGGAACCTGTCATCTTTGGGACCATCCAATCCCACTCCATCCTTCCTTCCTTTCTTGCTTTCAGAGAACCACCTTGTTTCTGCAAGGATGTGGCAAGGCATCCCAGCCTGCAGCTCTCACTCATTTATCTACCCTGCCAGGTCTGTTATTTTTAATTATTATTTTTAGGAGCTTTCTGGGGAAGTGATAGTTTTCCTAGTGAGCCAAAAATAAAGTTTTTGGTAACAGGAGATAGGGACAGGCTGTTCCATTGTAGTTAAACCTGTGACATGTTGCATGTGTGTTTCCGTGATATGTAAATAAAGACATGATGGATATCCTTTGTGCAACTCTTCTGCTTTTTGACTGCACCCAAGGATGTGGAGGAGCCAGAAAAGCCTATAAGGTCAGCAGGTAACACTGATGACTAGAGGTAATCACACAGAACAATTGTGCCACTGGTGGAAAAATTTCTCTGCCCAAGGTTGCCTGTATTTTCACTCAAATTGGAGATAACTGTTTCTACCTAGTATAGCCAGCCAGATGTTTCAAACTTCTTTATATTAATACTTAATTACTGGCTTCAGTGATATATTGGAGCAACCTAACCCTAACCCTGTTAACCTGGAGTAGTGGTAACTGGTGAAGATGTTCTTTGCTACTGCTAACACCCCAATACCCTGACTTCTGCAGGGAGGCAGCTATGAAGCTTTTCACAGCCAAGAGCCTGGAGACGTCTAGCACTTTCTTTAGGAACAGAAATATTAATCGTGGTGCTGTGGGCAGAATCCTCTTTACACAGCTTCCCTAAACCCCCTATGTTCCATTTAGTTAGTCAAAACTCCAATTTGCAATTTTGTTTATGCTATGGTGCCACTTTGCATTGTGTATTCACTCAAAGACTGTGAGTGTTACACTTTACACCTCTAATATGAGTAATGGCCACAGAGAAACACTGTGAATACAATGTCACTTCTGACCTGTGCACACCTGCTAAAGGAGGAATTTGTATGGGAGCACTTGGGCAAAACCTACCACAGAGCTGGATGTAGCTCTTTAGATTTCTGTTTACAGCATGACAGTCTCTGAACAAAAGACAGAAGTAAAGAAAGGTGGTTTGCCTTCAGCTCGATGCCACAGCAGCAAGAATTCAATTTATTAACCCAGGGAGAGCAGTGCAGCCCCTCCTTCAGCCCAGATGGGAATAGTGGGTGGTGCTGCCAGTGCCATTGTCAGTGGAAGCATAAAGGGAAAAAAGGCTCCTAATTGATCACATTCAATTGCAGAGCTCTCAGCCTCTGGTCTGTGTGACATTGATGAGAACCACATGCACAGGCACTATCAAAACCAGGTTTGATGTCACACTGCTTTTTAGTGTAGGAGCCAAGATCTGGGGGGAACAGTGCAACTGAAAGCAAGAAGGAAATTTTGCAGGGGTTTTATCCTTAGTGATGCAGATATTCCTTGCCTCTTATGCTAGAAATGGGATCCTTGTAGGATCACGGACAGTGTTTTAGGTAAGAATTTTACATATCATGAAATACAAGCAAGTCTGAATTTTGTCAGAGCTTTTAGACTCTAAAAGGAGATTTACTCCTTCAGTTCTTGCCTTTTCAGCCTTCAGCCTGCTATTAACTATGAATATAAAGATAGCATTATTCTTAATTGGTGGGATTAGTTCAGGTCAGTGAAAATTCAGTTAACTATTATCAGTCAAGTTTACTGATATAATTTACAGATTACAGGAATGATTGTTCACATTGGAGTTTCAGAAAGAGAGCCTGTGACCAAGTGCCATTCCTGCTGAGTCAAGCTGTGGTGTCACAGAGGTGGAGCAGGAAGGGTGAGCAGTGCTACAGGCACATGCTGCATGGCCACAGCAGTGTGAAAAGAATCAGTCTGAATTATGGGTCAGCCAGAACAACTACTGACTTCACAATTGCAGTGCAAAGGAAAGCTGTTGTGTAAATAACTTGCAAAGGTGTGGAATGCAAGAGCAGCCTGTGATGTAAAACCCCAGGGCAACATTTGTCCAAGCCCAACCCACTTGTGAGCACAGCAGAGCTTCTTAGTGCCACTCTGTGCTGTCTCAAAGGCATGACAGCAGCTGCAGAGCATCCCCATCATGGGTAACTTTTAGCAGCTTTCCCCTTTCTTCCCAGCATCTTATAGTCACAATGCTGTCAGTAAGAATTTTGCCTTTGGGGGCATTAGGTCTGAACAAGAGAGAGCTAAAAATGTCAAGCAAGACTTGATTTATATGTTCTTCTCAACTGATTGTTTAAGAAACCCAAATTAACAATTCACACAAGCTCAGCTTCTCTGTTGTCCCCAGAGAATTTAAGTCAGAGCTCTTGCAAGATTGTCTATTGTCTTGAAAGGACTTTGGACCAGGCCCAAACCAGCCATAGCAGGACTCTGTGCAATAATTACTGAAGTTAATCAGAGAGAATGCACGCAAGAAAGATGAGTGACAAAGTCCCACCCAAAGTCCTGTTCTACACCTACTGCTGTTAGTATCCTCTGAGAGTCCAAGGGTTATGCATCACCTTAAACTGCTTCTCCAAGGGTGAGAATCATTAAACATGGAAAAGAGAGAACAGCATGCTGATTTGACATAATCATTTCAGCAGCTGCCTGCTCTGCAAATGCTGTTGAATCTCAGGGATGTTGCTGGTAGTTGCCGAAATTATGACTGCAAGAGAGGCAAGGAGTGGAAGCACAAATTAAAACACTTGGGAATCGTTCTGTCTCAGGTCTGTAATAGTCTGCATTCATTTTCACTTGAAGGTGTTTTATTGAAACTCTCTCTTCCCTCCCTCCCCCAGTAATTATCCCATTGTAAGTCCACAGTGTGTGAAAGTGCTTCAATTTGAAACCCATGCTATACCAAATTGTTCGTATCCATGCCAGTCATTCTCTGCTACATGAAGCCTGGAAAAAACATTTCTTTCATATTTTTTTATCAGAAAAAAACCCGAGGGCTGTTGTTTTCTTGGAATGTTCTGAGTGAGCATATGTACTTCATAAAACCACTTCTGGTGTGTCAGTTCATTTTCTGGAGTGAACCTTCAAGAGTGGTCTCTTAATTATATCTCAGAGCTTTAGTTAGATTTTAGAAAATCAGAGGAGCAGCTCGTTGCTGCTGAGATCAGGAAGGACTTCCAAGTGCATTTGTCAAGACACCACATTAATGTGGCCTCTCCACTCCCCAAATCACCTTGCCATAGTCTGTTTTGCAGTGCAATTGCAGGAGGAGGCTTTCCACCAGCATTACAAAATGCCTTCAGTTTCCCCTCCAATCCAGATAATGATTTTGTTTGCTGATTTCCCACTGGGATTTAAAAGGGAGTTTGTAGAGCCAGGCAACTTCTATATGCCCTTCCTCACTACTTATTCAGAAAGGCTCTGTGGCTAATATATATGTATTTGTGCTGTGGCTAATATATATGTATGGTGCCTTCACTGCTCTCAACTCCATAGCCAGGGGCAAAACTCAGAGATGCTGATGTCAGCTGCAGCCTTTAGTGGTCTCCAGACTAAACCCCTAGAGAGGGGAAGAAGGGCAGAACTGTGAGGGGTGAGCTTGTCTCCACCTCCAAGGGCCAGATAAGGACAGCAGGAGCAATTGTATTAACTCAATGGAATTAACCCTGTGGAATTGCTATCATCTTACCTTATCTGTACACCAAGGGTACAGTGTCCTGAAAATGCAAAGGAAAGCATTTCTGCCTTATTAGCCTCACTTTTATGCTATCAGGAGGGTATCCAGCTGTGTATTAGGCTTTTACTCAGTCTGCACAAGGCAAACCAATAGATTTTTTAAAACAACAGATTTTGCATAAAACAGCTAATTGCTGGGTATTGGTTGCAGTGAGCTGAACTCACCTGGAGCAGTCTTCTAGTCACAAAAATCTCTGTATCCAGTCTCCTGGGTAACCTGCTTCTCCCTGCAGGCCTTCTTTAACTCACTGCTTATCTTCCTCACCATGTTATGTTGCTTTATCAAACCTGGGGAAGGGAAGAGAGACAGTGGGTTACACAGAGAGGCAATTTACAAGGTACACCAGCACAAAGCAGAAATAAAAAACAAGCAACCCCCAGATCACACAAGTGTGAGAGACATTCAAATGCATAATGTCAGTCATAGCTCTCATTGTTTTCATATCCATGACATAATTCCTCAATCCCTTGAGTCCATGACATACAAGCCCAGGATATAATAAGCAGGGAAGAATTAGCTGCATGATACACTGATGAACAAAATGAAAGCAAGTGCTTTTATTGTAAAAGGGGAAATGCTCTGTGTTAAACAGTGGATTCAATTCAAATTATGGCTCATGCTGCATAAATGATAATGAGACTGTCTCAGGCTGAGTGAGAATGCTGAAGGGACCAAAGACACCCACATGATGCTGCATCCTAACAGCACTTATCCTTTAACTGGGACAGTGGAATTTATCTTCAGAACACACAGTTCTCCTTTGACAGATACCTGTCTTGGCAGAAGGGCATCCTTGTGCACCTCACACACAGCACCGAGCCAGCAATATGGCTGTTCAGTCTCTCTATCTTTCCCCCCATCCCAACTGTCCTATATTTTTGTCATTTATGTTGAAATCCAGTAATTCCTTGACATTACTGAAACCACTAGCATTGATCTCATTTGATACCACTACTTCTGTAGATAGAGGCAGGACTTCCCTGCAAGACACAGTAATGTGTCCAGGCAAGACACAATAATGGAAGTGAAGGCATATCTCATGTGTCATGTGGCAATAGGTGAGTTATATTTCAATCTTTCATTTGGAAGTGACATATTCAGAGATTCCTGAGGGGACTTTCACAGCCTTTTTAGATTTTTTTACTGTTATTCTGAGCTATGCAGCTAGTCAGTTTTATCTTGATGCTTCCTAGCATTTTCTAGGTAATTTCATTTTAGCATTTAATGCTTTGCCTTGGGAAATCTTGAAGTGTGCTGCTGCAAGCAGTCAATAGCACTCAGGACACGGTCAAGGACAGGCTGGATAGCACCTCATTTGTGGCTTGTTTGAGAATGTCTGATGGTAAGTTCAGCACTGCACAATTCTCACTGCTTGAACTGGAAATGAGACTGAAGGATGACTCATGTATTTCCACATCCAACTTCTGCAATGAACCTCTGACCCAGCTGACTTCTTAGAGGCCCCATCTTTTCTTTAAGAAGGAATAATTACAAGAAAGGAACTAACCTAGTAAGACATTGCAGCCTTACACTGCAGACAGCATACATTAGGCAAGGATGGGAGAGTTTGAGAAATGTCATCCTGACCTCTGGGTTCTGTAATTTCATTTGCTAGACGTGGGGAGAAGGCTGCTGGTATGAACTGGACAGGAAATGGTAAGTTATAGCTGAACTGTGAGGGGTTGAATTGGTCACTTACCAACTTCTCTAGCTCTAAAATGAAACCACATTTCTTTCAGAATAAGTAAGGAAGAACTTGTTGTTTGTACCAGGTTTTTAGGCAAAGGGTTCAGTCATCCAGTTCTAGGGAAAAATCCAGGGCCAAAGGAAGCAACTAAGTACCTGCCAGCCATCCTAGCTACCTGGCTCAACTCCTAAGACTGAGCTTAACTTGACTTAGCTGTTGGGTGACATAGCTGAGCACAGTTAGCACCTCAAAATAACCTTTTTATTGGTGTCTATCAACAGTTTCTTTGTCACTCCTTGCTTTTTGGTCACACCATCAATATATGTGCAAAAACTCTCTTCCTGCAGAAAGCTGCTAAGTCCTTTGCATGCATTAGCTTTCCCAGACACTGATTAAAATCAAAGTATAATGTTCAGCCTCGTCTCACTGCATTGCATGTGCAAGCAGAAGGAAGAGTTTGGCTGGGTTTTTGGAGCCAACAAACTGATCTGTGCACACTTTGGCTGGGTGTTTGCAGCCAAGAAACTGATATATGCGTATTTTAAACTTAATGGTGGCCTTTGAAACAGAATCATAGAATTGTTAGGGTTGGAAGGGGCCTCTGGAGATCACGTAGTCCAGCTCCCTGCCACCCCCTCCCCCTGCCAAGGCAGGGCCACCTGGAGCAGGTGACACAGGAACGTGTCCAGTTGGGTTTGGAATGTCTCCAGAGAGACTCCATGCCCTTCTCGGGAAGCCTGTCCCAGTGCTCTGCCACCCTCAATGTACATAAGTTCTTCCTCATGTTTAGCTGGAACTTCTGGTGTTTTAGTTTATGCCCACCGTCCTGTGATTGGATACCACTGAGAAGAGTCTGGCACCATCCTCGTGGCATTAATGAGATCAGAAGCCGTGGGGTTCACATCAGGGGGGCAGAGCACCCGGCCTCCTCTGCTGGGACATGTCCAATCAGCTGCCTCTTAGCCAACTCCAACAGAGCCCCTCGGTGCAGCCACATTTCTCTTCACAGAGAAAAGCAAGGCACAATTCTTCCCAAGAATATTTCTGGGTTTCACATCCTCTGAACCTCAGAGAAAAGAAAAACAATTCTTATCGTTTGCTGAGCCTGTGTTTGTGCCAAAGTAGAACGCAATATAGAGATTGTTTACCCAGAGTGATGGTGTTTTGTTTCCTTGGCCGGTCAGGGCCAAGTGTGTCTGTCTGTCTGTCTGTCTGTCTGTCTCTCTCTCTCTCTGTGTGTGTGTGTGTGTCGGGACTGTCGGCTGACAGTCACGAGATTCTGTGCAGTTGTGAGCAGGGTTGAGTGCTTGGCAGATTCAGTTTAGATGTAATATAACACAGTGTAATATAATATAGACTAATATAGCACAATAAAGTAATTAATTAGCCTTCTGATAAGATGCAGTCAGATGCCTCACGCTCTCCCCGGGTCGGGGCTCCAGGCACACTCCACGCCCCGGCCGGCCCCAGGCCCGCGGCGCACCGGGCGGGGCCGGGGCGGTGTCCCGGCTCCCCCCGCCCCTCGCCGGCCGTCCCGGGGCTGCTGCCATGGAGCTGCCGGCCGTCAGCCTCAAGGTAGGGGCTCGCCCTGCCCCCGGGGCTCGGCAGCGGGGCAGGGGGCTGGAGGGCGGCTGGGGGCTGCTGCGGCGGGTTGAGCCGCCCCGGGCGCTCGGATCGGCCCTCCCTGTGTCCTCCTCTCGCATGGTCTCCGGCCGTGTGCCTGGTCCAGATCCTGGCGGAGGCCCTGCTCGGAGCTGCCGAGCCCTCTGAGGAGGAAGAACTGAAGTTTCTAGTTTTTTTATCGCATGGGCAAAGGCTGCAGAAGTTCTGAACGCCATGAACCGAGTCGGGGGAGGTTTAGGTTGGCTGTCAGGAAAACGTTTTCCCCAGCGGGTGATCAGGCACTGAACTGCCCCAGGACAGTGGTCACAGCATCCAGCCTGTCTGAGTTCAAGGAGCATTTGGACAGTGCTCTCAAGCACAGGCTGGAATTCTTGGGGTGTCCTGTGCAGGGCCAGGAGTTGGTGATCCTGATGGGTGGGTCCATTCCAGCTCAGTGTGTTCTATGACTCTTGGTTAAACCCACCAGGTGATGACTCCAAAGTCAGGGCCAGGAGTTGGTGATCCTGCTGGGTCACTTCCAGCTCAGTGTGTTCTATGACTCTTGGTTAAACCCACCAGGTGATGACTCCAAAGTCAGGGCCAGGAGTTGGTGATCCTGCTGGGTCACTTCCAGCTCAGTGTGTTCTATGACTCTTGGTTAAACCCACCAGGTGATGACTCCAAAGTTTGCCCCTACTTCAGGGGTATTGTTAAAGTGGCCAAGGACTGGGCAGAGACAAGAGCTGGCTATTAACTAGTGTCCATGGGGGTTTCTAGCTCAGCTGACCAGAGCTAAGCCAAGATAAACAGTGCACAAGATCCCGAGGAGACAAAGCTTTTGCTTGTCAGGCAAGGTATCTTAGAAAAATAAGCCCACTTACTTGGGCTTTATCATCTGATACATAACTGCAATTGCTTCTCTGCTGGGGAGGGCAGGCTCCACTGGTGGGCACTTTGGAAATTTCAGTGAATATCTGATAACCAGAGAAAGGAAATAAAAGAGACTTAACCAGTAATGTAACATTTTTCACTTTTGGAAGAAGCACTTCCTTGCTTCTGGCAGTGGATGTTAAAGTCACACTGTGTTTGCTTTGATATTGATGTTTGATTCTGATGTCTTCTGTGCTACCAGACATGTGACATTTTCCTCTATTTTTTTTTTTTTTTTGTCTTTCACATTTTCAGAGCCCTGAGATTTCTAGGTGTTGGTGTCCTTTCCCAGCTTCACTACTTTGTGATTTCATTTACTACAGCATGGTTCGGGTGCTTTCTTTGGTTAAAGCTTTACCCATACACTGAAAGCATCACAGATCACATCGGGGCTTTTTCTGCTGATTTGTTAAGCTGTGAGCAGTGGCCTTGGACCAGGCTGCCTATGGGTTGGATGGGAGAGGAGTATTATCTCTGCTACCATTATTAATTCAGCTTTGTACAGGACAGCTTTCATGTGGCTGTATTAAAGAAAAGATTGGTGTTCATCTAATGATGAATACCCCTCTTACTAGTTCACCAAGAAAAGCAACTTCCCTCATTAGAGACAAGTAAGCAAATGGATTTTTCAAGGCCCAGCTTGTGGATTATATTACATTCTGGAAACTAGCTGATACTTTGCTCTGACAAGTTTGGACTACTGTGTGATTCCCAGGGCACTGGGAAGATTAAAATATTTTGCCTTCTGCTTTATTTTTTAACTTGGTTTGATTATTTTTTTCCATGCTGAAACAGCAGTGAAAACTAAGGACATTTAATTAAAAAGTTTGCCAACATGAAATACATGTTCTAACGTGGGAAATGGAGATAGGGGAGCTGAAAAACGCTGACTTTTCGATGAATGAGTCACAAAGACAGCAAAACTAAAATGTTGCCGTTCTTCTCTTGTTTCAGACAACCATTTCCCAATCTCTTGTTAGATAAGTGTGAGTTTGTCCTGGGCAAACTGTTTTCAGCATTAAGAAATTCCTTGTTTTTAAGTCTGCCACTTCTGCTCTGAGCTGCAAAGACAGGAATTGGGAGTTAATAGTTGTACCTACACTTCATTCTGTTCCTGAGTTAGGGCCTGATTCGCTGTAAAATACCACAAAGGTGGGGAAGATTCTTACTCAGAAGGACCTGGAAATAACACACACTGCTACTATTCATTGGCATGATCTGCTTACTGGTTCTGTGAGATTATAAAGATGAGCTTGTGATAGAAGTAGTTCCAAGAAAGCTGCATGACTGAGCTGTGTTTGTGCCAGAACGGAGCAGTATCTCAGCCTTGGGGTGGCTCTTTAAGCTACTTGCAGAGCTATAAAATGAAGATAGCAGGCTTTGCCCTGGAGTGGGTGGGGAACACGCTCATTGAACAGGATCTACTGGCTCAGTTCTAACAGCCATGCTCAGCAAAACATGGGGGAAGCAGCACAGCCGTACTTTTGCCATGACAGCTTGACACCTATGATTATTGAAATAATCATGCAGAGCCTCAAAATACAGCGTTTGATTTTGATCAAGCCTGGACAATGCCCTACAATTCATGTGCCTGGAAACACACATTTTGTGCTTAGGCATTTTTAAATGCTAAGTCACAGAATCAAGGGATAATAGACATGTCTGTATGCCATGTGATTAAACCTCCTACTCAAAGCAAGGCAAACTGCAAAGTTAGATCAAATAGCTCAACTCAAAAATCAGCTGACTTTTAAAATAAGAACAGAGCCATTGGATAGCCTGTCCCACTGCTTAAGTACTCTCATTATTATCACTCTGTTATAATAATGAGGAGCATCCTCACAGGTGGCCACTCAGATTCATATTTTGGTTTTGTGTGTTCTCAGGTGAATGTCACTCATAGAGCAGGTGAGCTCACTCAAAAATAGAAATTTAGATACAACAAGAAAATAATTGTAATGTTGAACTGTTTCATTTTTAACTTGGTCAGAATTCAGTCTTGTGCTAAGCTCTGTGCTGAAGCATGTTTAAAGGAGTTCCTATTCCAAAGAATTTCCCATCTAATGAGACCCTGGCAGACCTAGGCTCTTTTTATGCTTGGCAATTAGTTCCATCGCATGCTGGGATTGGCAAAGGAGGTAACAATTCTCCTTAGCTCTCCCCAGTTTCCAGTGGGGTGCTTTTAATTACATAGCCATCCTTTTTCCCAGAAGAGATGGAGACAAAGGACCCACCTTTCTTATTTTCTGCTCTCACCACTAGTTCATCAGTAACTTTGGAGTTATTTGCTCAAAAAGAAGAAACATATGTCTGTCTTAGCTACAGACTTAAGTCCTTGCATAGATGGAAAAAATTTTAAATTCTTCTGCTGCCTTCAAATTAACTAATGTCACATAGTACTTGTAGTTTTTCATTAACACTATATTTTCTATGTTAAAGCATACCAACACCACCAGCCAATTCCGTAGTGTGCTGAAGAACTGTCAGGTAAATTGGACTAATAACTAAAAAGGGAATATATTGGTTTTATTTCAGCAGTCATTCAGCCCCAGTTTAGTTGACTTTATGCTGATTACTAAACATACTTCATAATTTAGTAACTGCAGTATTGATCTAGACAGCTTTAAAAAAAACCCACCCTGCCTAATTATGTTAACTGGTGAGCCTTGAGGGGTCTTGGGGGTATGTAACATGCAATTAAATACTACCTAATTAAGAATTTTCCTGATGTTGTGATAGTCTCTTGAGTAAATGCTATTTGCACGTCTCCATTCTTATCCAGGAACATCTTGTATTTTACTGATTAGCAGTTTTTCCAGTGCGTCTGTGGTACAGTTTGGGAGAAGGAGAAGCATGAGAGGTGGTGAAACATTTTGTAAGCTTTCATGAACAATTTAAAAAATTAATTAGTAAAAATCTGTCTAAGCAGTGTTGGAAGTTACAGCAAAGTGTAGTGAGTGCTCAGGTGTGATGGGGGGCACTGCAGTGAAGGAAGACAGAAGTCATTTGCATTGTGGTGTCCTGGCAGAGCAGTGTGAGCCACAGCAGCTGGGCCACCCCTGTGCTTTCCTGATTGTGCTTCACTTAGCTCACAGCTTCACTCTCTTCTCCAGAAACTAGTTTTGTTTTAAGTTAGAGCATAGAGAGATGTTGTATGTCAAGGAATCTAGCAGGGTGTCAGTAGATCTTAGTTTTTTTGTGTGTGTGTCTTAATGCGCCTATCTGCATACAGCTGTCCTGTGTCCACTGAGTAACTTAGGCTTTTGCTGTGTACTCATTTCCCAATTTTCTTTTTTTCCCTTTGGAGGGGGGGCAGGGAGTGTGCTTCAAAGGGGTTTTGGTTATGTGGGTTTGGTTTTTTAATACCAAGGTCAGCAGAAATGCTAATTTGAAGCCTTTCTCATGGCTAGGAAAAAATGAAAGTGCACCTGTATCCCATGGATCCTCTGATATGTCCAGGCTTCAGCCTTTCTTTAGTGAGGCTGTTAATAGAGGCTGTCTTCCATATTCTTGCTTTCACAAATGTTTAGAGAGGAAATATGAGTGATCTCCCTTTGTTGGAGTGATCAGCAGGCTACAGATGTAGAAAAAGCCTGAAGTGATATATTGTTGTTCCCATATGCTCTCTGAATAAACATGTAGGGTATGTTTCCTTGGTTACAAAAATGGCAAGTGGTGGTGAAGAGAATCCTTGTATCACTTATTACAGCACCAGCCTTTCTTAGATTTGTTCCATTAAGTACAAGGACCAGGATCATTTAGGACACTTGCAAAGAACAGAATTTGTGACAGCATTATTTTACTGCTGCTCAGGGCACTGTTGGCAACTGGACCTAGTGGCTTCACTGGGAGTGAAAAGAGCTGTGTGCTCTGGCAGGATCAGGTTCACAGAGTCCTGGAAGAAGACTTCAGGTCTGTTAATACTGCAGTGAGATTGGACCACTGCTCTGAACAGACTGGAAGGAGGTAAAAGAAGGATTTACTGAGGACTGGAAGGAAATTTTGGGAGCTGTAGGCATGTCTATCCATGGCCTTTTTGGTGATGGGATGCCAGATTGGTCATGTATAAACTGTGCTAGCACAGCGTTAATCAGATTGCCTGGCTTTCTGTGCAATCTCTTCTGGAGTTCCAAAATTAATAACCCATTTAGAAAAGGCTAAGTGGTCCCTGAATCAGATGTTGACAGAGATGACAAGAAGAGTGAATGACTACAGTGTAGCACCACAGGACATACTCAGCAACAGATGTGGAGAAAAATAGCTTTGTCATCACTGTCCCAATTGCTTCACCATCTTTCTGCACTGGTTCATGGGTCCAAGCCACTCTTCCACCCATCCCTTGGGAACAAGATGGTGCCATTTCACACTGATCCTCCCAGAGTTCACCCAACATGCTAACCTGTCTTCCTGTTTGTTTGTTTGTTTGTTTTTATAGGCTATCATTCTGGTACATTGGCTGCTCACAGTGTGGTGAGTGATTAGTGTCTGGCCTGGGGGAGAAGAGGGTATTCCTTCAAACTAGGAATGGGATGTTCCCTGGGAATCAGCACTCCCTGTTTGTGCCTGTGTGCAAGAAGATCCTAAATCTAAGAGTGAGGTGTTTGTATGGGATCAGGGATGAAACTAAACTGTTGCAGGTTTATTGTGAATGCGAGCTGGATTTTTTTGTCTCATTTGGCAGGGGATGCATGAATTACATGTTGCCACTCTCCTATGCCTGGGGAAATTTCAGTGTCCTTGCAGTGGGGATCTGGGCCATTGTGCAGCGAGATTCCCTTGATGCCATAAGCATGGTGAGTGTAAGAGTACTGGTCTCCCCCAGCCTGTTCAGGAGGAGGGTGGAGGGCAGAGTCTTTGAGCTAGTGATGATTTTCAGCTGTTCCCAATACAGAAGTTCCCTGTTTGGGTGGGTTTGGTTTTTTTGTAAGAGAGCATATAAATCTATGAACTCTGTAAACCGTGGTGAGAAGCATTCACTGTCAATTTTTTTTCTTCTCAGAGATGAGACATACTTGATTCTTCCTTTTTTCACAACTTGCTGTTGTGACCTGTAAGGCCAGATGAGGACTCAAAAGTGTTTAATATGCTTCAGTTGGAGGGGCTCTTTAAAACCCTCTTGTGAACATTGAATAGATTGGCAAACAAAAATAAGCAATTCTAGAATATATTATAAGAAGACATCTGACAGGAAAAGGCATGAAATACAAGACCATTCATCTAGGAGTATCTGTCTGCCTGGGGCAGTACCAAGTGATGTGTGATGCTGGGGTGAAGGATGATTGTGCAACACAGCTCTAGCAGGAAATAGATGCAGGCTGTTACTGTCAGTGGTTAAACCCTCGTTCTGTTCATGTCCCATTCTCTGTCCTTGTTTCCAGTTCTTGACTGGCCTGCTGCTCACAGTCCTCACAGACATCATTCACATCTCTATCTTCTACCCTTCCCACGACTTCCTCAGTGACGCGAAGCGGTTCAGTATAGGCATGGCCATCTTCAGTCTCCTCCTCAAGCCTGTGTCCTGCTCTTTGGTGTATCGGATGTATCGGGAGCGTGGAGGGGAGTACACCTTCAACATAGGTAGGATGCTTTTTCTGCTTCCATGTCAGTGTGGCCACCTCCTCAGGACTGCCTGGCACTTTGGACCCTTCAGCCTGAGCTCTGTGCAACTGGATTCTGCCCTCCAGTCCAGGCAGACAGGCTGCTTGTCTGCTTGCTCATGTTTGTTATCCCATTTTGTCATTCTGGTGTGTCTTTGGCCTTAAATTTATAGTCTTTCTCTCTCCCCTTGCAGAACTGAAGTTTTTAACATTTTGACATCTTAACACCATTTTACCCACAATGGCGTTAAGAGGCTTTTCCTCTCTTCCTCCTCCTCCATTTGTGTGTGTTTGTTGGAAACTTTTGGGTGTCCTTTCTTTGTCGACCCTTTTTTTTCCTTCTGGGGGAAAGTAGAGGCAGTATTTCCTCTGGCTGGATTATGAACAAGAGGGAAATAAAGCTGGATTTCTAAGTCCATGTGGGCCTCACATGCCCTATTTACCTTGATTGCTTTGGGCTTTGTTCCTCATGGAAAATGGGACTAATGTTTACCTGATGGGATTTAGCTTGGAGACATTTAATTTTTCTCCAGGTTGTATTTGAAAATTATAATGTGGAAGATTTGCCAGAGAGGATGGGCTGTGGCTAGATGTTCTGTGTCTTGGTCAGCTTTGCCAAGCATTCCTGGTACTAGTTCATGCCTGGGCAGCTGCCAGGGATTGATTGTTTGCCAGGGATTGTTGTTTGAATTCATGCTGGCAGAACCTGCAGCCTGTCACAGTTCTGTTTGTCATCCTAAGAAGGCTGTGCAGGACAAAAGATGGTGTACCTGCATTACAGTGTCTGTCATAAGCTGTCTCTTATTCTGCTTTGGTGGTAGCAAAGATCACACTCCTATGAAAAGAAAAGAAACCTGCAGGGGGAGGAGAAGCCGTGGCAAGAAACCATGGCTTAGGGCACTGTGTGGTATTTGCACCTCTCTGCTACTGGAGTGTGGATGTCATCTCTGCCAGCTACTTGTGAAAATCCAGATGGATATGTCTTATGCCTCCTGGGTCAGGAAGCATGTGAGTCACCTGCAGTGCCTTTTTTATGTCAGTTTTTATTAGCTGCTCACTGTGCTTGTCATTGGGATTCAGTATGTGTATAGAAAATATTGATGTCATTGAGGAGTTCATCTCTTTGCTTGGAATTTGGCAGCACTTCTTTTCAACCACACCATCCCAAACCAAGAGACTCCTCTCAGGCACAGGTGGGAATTAAGACACTGTAGTTTCATATCCTCTCCTGAACTGTCTTTCTTACAAGATTTTCAGTCCTGTGTGTTGCTTTGTGATGAATGTGCTTGACAAATTTCCTCTTATTTTCCTGCTATCTGGCATTTTCTTTTGAATCCTGCAGTGTTGAAATTTTCCTGGCCTTTTCTGTCTTGTTTTCCTTCTACAGTAAGTCCCTCTTTGTTGCCTGGGAGCATCCTTGCTGCTTAGAACAAATCCCTCATAGTCTAATGGCTATCTGTGATTCAGGTTGTTTCTCCCCATGGCAAATGCCTGGGCCCTAGATAAAGAGCTGTCCATGGATATTCCCTGCTTCCTCTTTCCCTGCTCATCCCCTGGACAGTAACATGATTTTGCACAAATTGTTCATGGTGCACCGTTGGACTCAAATTTGCTACCACACTTTGAGGCACAGTTGCATTGTTGGGAAGAGTGGTTCATGGATGTCTAATTCCTTTAAATCTATGCTGTCAGCTAGCCACAGTTCCTGCAGCTTCTGGCTCTGTCTGTTCATTTTTCTGTGAGTTCTCATACACTTTATCTTGCTGAAATACATGGTTACAGGAACCTGTTGTGCTGCTATGGGGTATTGTGGTCTTGCTTTCCACACAGCCATGTGGCTACTAAGAGAGTGGTTCTCAAGGAAAGAACGGGCATGTTGGAAGGGCTTTTCTTATCTCCTGCCTGTTTAGTGAGGATCACAGACCACCAGTGCTGGGAACTGGTAAAATGTGTGCTCCTGAGCTGTTAGTTTCTTCTAGAGCATTCAGTTCTTGTGCTTTTGCCTTTGTCCTAAGCTTGTTCTCTTCCATCTCCATGCAGGTGTCACCAGTGCAGGCCAGGACCAGAGCAGCTACGAGCCCATTGATCAGCCAGACTCGCCTCCACAGTGGCCTTCCTCAAGCAAGGCAGCCCAGCCACCATACTGAGGCACCCTGCAGCCCAGGACAGACACTGCCCTTGCCCAGCCAAGCCTCCCACTCTTCCCATTGAAGATTTTCCCCTGCTACTGGGAAAATAAGAGAAGATCTGATATTTCTTTTGCCTGCCTAAAGGTTAGGCAGATGGGTTCTGCAGTAAGTCCAGAAGATCTTGGAGGTGTCATGTTAAGCACTGTGTAATCCCAGTACTCTCCTTTCTTCCCTCCCCCTAAATCCCTCCTCTGTACATGTGACTGGATGCACCTTCTGCAGTCTTCCAGCCTTCCATTGTGCTTCCTGTTCTTTATAAGAGAACCACTCAGAGTACTCCTGGACTAGCAATGTTTAAAAGGCTTATGGACTGCCCTAAAGCAATACAGTGTAGCCTGATTTTATGGAGATATATTTCCAGGAAACATCTGGGAGTTCCAAAGAGCTGTTTTTGATGGCATTATTTAACTTCTTGTGCTCCCAGTATCTGGTATTGCGTTTTATTAACTGATGCTTTTACACAAGTTGAATGTCCTTCAGGATACTTAAAGTGACTGTTGAATGTAGATTACAGATCCTTTGTGCCTTGAAATATCCTTCTGCCTTCAGCTGCTTGTTTTAATAGAACTTGAAATGTTACATTTTTCTAAGAAAACTATAAAATGAACACAGTTTTTCTGTGTTAGAAAAAGTTACACTGGTCACTTATGTCTCATTTGAAAATGTAGCTTTTCCTGAGGGCTTGGGACTGTAGCCAGGCAGTCTGGGAAGGTCATTATGGGGGAAGATCTACAGGGCTCTGATGGCTTTTAGCCTAAGCTTTACTCTGAGAAGTAGAAAATACTGCATATAATTGTGTGGGTGGGAAGATGGGTTAGTAAAATGGGGATTGAGGAAAGATGGACTTATTTACACTGTAGATGTGAGTTCCATTGAGTGTGACAAACTATAGACTCTTTTGTTATGCACAATAAATCTGTCCTGCTGTGGCTTTCAGGTAAGATTCTCAAAAAAGAAAACCAAACAAACAAAACCCCAGAAGCATGCAAACAACCAAATTTCAACATGATTCATTTACAGAAGAAAATGAGTATGTTAGCTTTGGCAGAATTCTAATGCTAGGAAGATAGGTATTTTTCAGAAGCAAGTTCATTGTCAAAGTTTGTTATTTTACAACTGCATTTCTCCTGACAAGACCTTCTGCTGTGTGGATTCTTCAGTAACCAAGACCCCTGTTGACTTTGCTCTAACCTCCAGCAACATGCCATTTGTATTTTTAAAACCAAGCAGTTTTCTCCCAACTTCAATCCCTTCAAACGTAAGCAGATTCTTCTTCTACTCTGCTGCACAAGCACTACATTGACCTCTTGGTGTACCTGAACCAAGCACATGGTAAATGCCATAGAAGTGTCGTACATTCCTTTTACAGGCTTTACGTATAATACAGCACAAGACTAGGAATTGGTCTGTTCATGGGTTTAGATGGCAAAGAAGGAAAAGAGTGGGCAGAAGTTGCTGGGGCTTGTGGAGTTGCAGAGCCTTTATGTAATGGGTTTTTCCAGCTCTTTAGAACTGTACAGTGATGGCACAGAGCCCTGAATAAGGCATTAAAATGCTCAGGGATTTTTTTGCCTAGATCCATGGACCAAAGACTGAAAATCACTGCTTTTAATGCTCTGGGGTTTGGGTTTTGGCACAGTCAGTTATATCTAGGGAGGCCTTCCCAGATGTTATACACTGGAAATACCCATCTAGCTGACCTGCCATGTTTTTCTGTGGAAAGTTTGGTACATTTGGGAGCTGCAAGAAGCAGAGCAAGGCACGAGTAACACTGATCTTACAGTGCCTCAAGGATACCTATTTTGGGCAGTAAATCAGAGGTGATGATAAAACCAGACCCCTCTCCTGGCTGAGGAGGAAGAGAGAGTTTGTACCTGGTTCAGGAGGGCGTGAGGGGATTCACGGAGCTGCTGTGCCAGAGCATGGCCTTGGGTGGGCCTCTCGTGGGGTCTCAGCGAGATCTCCTCACCCACACAGGTGCGATGCTCCATTCGGCTGGTTTTGCTTTGTTTTTTAAAATCCTCGAGTCCTGCTGTGCCCGGGGTTTTGGCGGTGAGCAGGCAGCCCCCTAGGATTAAGCCTAGCCCGCCCAGGGCAGGTGCCTCCCTCAGCGCTGGGGAGGAGCGGGGAGAGGAAGACGTGGCGGCTGTGCTGAGGCACTGCCCGGGACAGGCACGGCTCCCGCCCGCCATCAGCCCCTCTCTCCTCGGCCGGGCCCCGGCTTTAATTAGCCATGGCCCAGAGCGGCTTTCCCCGGCCATCTGTAGCCCCGGTCACCGACCTAATCGGGAGGATAAGCTGCTTATGGAGCCGCAGCTGCAGCGGGCGCGGGGCGCGGCGCTGAGGGGGCCCAGGGTGGCTGTGGCCGCGAAGGAAGGGCCGGCTCCGACGCGTGTGGTCAGTCCCCGGGGCCCAGCAGTGCGGCCGCTGCCTCTCCGAGTGGGTAAGTGGAGCCTGGGCCGTGGGTGAGGAGCTTCGCATTCCAACTGCGGCATCCTGGGACACCGGCGGGTGCTTGGAGGGCAGCGCTGGGAGGGAAGAGCACCTGTGTGTGCTTGTTGTTCTCACAGGCATCATGCAGTGATGGTTGGTTTGGTTTGTAACGCTGAGCAGTGTTTGAAAAAAAAACCTGCTTTCTAAGGCAGCTGAAGTGTGATCTCGGAGTAAGCCCCTTCTTGGAACATGCGATGGATCAGTCTTGATCTGCAGGGATCGGGAAATAAGCACTGTGTGTGCAGTGCAAATGTGTTTATTATGGGTCTGGTGTTGTTACCGTATTGCTGAAATGGCATTTGCTTGAAAGAGCTTGATTTACTTTTCATTGACTGTGCTATTTATTTCCTTTTGCTTATAACAACAGAAATAACTTGATCGTCTTAATTTTTATTTGCCTAATTGAATTTATTTCAGGTTTTAATGCCTTAGTGTGTTGCTGCAAAGTGTGTATATAGTAAGCATGCATTAAATGTTTTAGTTGGAATCATAAAAACTAATATAAAATCCATTGGTCATGGATTTTGCAGTTTACTTCTTAAAAGTTGTTACGTTAAAGATCTGAGTAGCAATTTCATTAGGCAGACAAACGTGGTTCTGAAAGGATACTATTTCTTCCAGATCTCAATGAGACTGAAATTGGGAACGAGTGAGGTGAGGCACACTACCTGAAACAGCCATGGTGATGTGTTGAGAACCTGGTACCTAGCACTAAGAATTGAAATGGAGAGTTAAAAAAATCACAAGTTATCAAGAAAATAGATTATTATCAAGAAAAGAGATTATGTCCAGATTCTTGAGCATAAGGTAGTCCAGAGCCAGGTTTTGGGTGTTCACAGAGCAAAACAACACTGAAAAACGTGGTTTGCAATTGAAATCCTTTGTAACACCCTTTTGTGATACATTGCTTGTTGATTGGATATTTCTGGGATGCAAGGAGTGCTTCCATGGAACACCAGTCCACTGCATTTTGTGGTTATACTTCATGCAGTGATAGGCTCCCTAAGGAAGGCAGCTGTGCTTTGTCTGTTCACTCTGTAGTTGCCAACTTCAACTGGTCTGGAAGAAATAATGGGATCTTTCCGTTCATGGCACCCTCGGTGATACATGAAAGGCAGTAACAGCAGTTCCCAGGGATAATTGCAGCACCGCCTCACTGTCTCCTGCTGCTTTAGAAACTGTGTTTGCTCCCCAGATTGTGGTGATTACTGAAGGAGTTTGCATGTGAGAGGGAAAAATGAGCTGTTACAAACAGGGACAACTAAGCCTCAAATGTTCTTTTAGAAGGGAATGAGATAAACACAGCTTAGAAACAGTGCAATTTGGCAGGAGGCTTTCTGGGATTAGAATGTGTTTGAAAAAGACAATGGGCATTGATTTCGTTGATGTCTCTTCTCAGATTGACTAGGGGGCTTTAAGATGATAGAGATGTGTGTGTCTTTATACAATACCATTTTCATTTTTTAAAAGAGAGGTGGAAAAGAATGGCGGTTAGAATGACAGTGATTGACAACTTGCTTTTAAAATCTGAGGGAATGGAACCACAGTCCTCTCAAATTGCACTTGCCTGTTAGCTGCAACTTAAGAATCCATTTTCAGTATGAGTGTTATATGTATAACCATCAGACTTGGTGGCTAGACTGCAAAGTAGGTCTCCCAGCTATGCTGTAAGTCTTCCAAATTAGGGGACAGTGTGGCTTTTATAGATATGTAAACATGGTTTCATCCTTTAGTGCAGACAAAAAGAAATAAGTCTGTAGCCTTGAACTTGGGATAATTCAGCCTTGCCTAGCAACAGACTTCTTCTGAGGCTGCTGGTGTATAATGCTGGAAGTCTTTGTTTTCCAGGTTTTTTGTGGAGAACTGAATCTGTCCTTTTCATTTATTCCTGCTCTGCCAGATACGATTGTCTGCTGAAAAACAGGAAGAAAGTAGTGTCCATAACACTTTCAGGACTGAGACTGGTGGATCAGAGACAAGAAATTCACAAGGAAAGTACCCAAAGGCTTTTGCAAACTAGGCAAGATGAGATAGGAAATACTCACAGTCCTTTGCTTATATTTCTTCTTGTTTTTCTTCAGAGCAAAGAAACATTCAGAAGAACATGAATTTCAGTCTGTATTTGGGCACTAGAAGTCGAGTAGACATTTCTCATCCCTGGCCTGAGGCTGCAGCATTTGGTAAAAGCCCAGAGACAGCAGCACAGGGCTACCTGTGTACCACACCTCTGTCAGATGGGAAGAGATCCCAATCTGAAGACAGACTAATCTCTCCTGCCCTTCTCAGCCGTTCCCAGACACTGCCAGCCAGTTCTCCAGTTCCTGCTTGCTGCAGCAGAATAATCTGTGCTCTAGCTGCAGCAGCACAGCTCTAAGTGTGTAGTTCATAGAGTCCCATCCTGCTTTGTCAGTCCTCCCTGCTGTGTATCTCCCCCAGAGGCATTTTCACCTTGAGGCTTGTGTTTTGGAAGGGAGAAGGAGTGAGAGTACTGACTTTCCTCAACAACACCATCAGGAGGCAAAGGCAGCTGGTAGCTGCTCCATACCCACTGTTCACCATCACTATTCAGAAAGGGGCAAGAACTGTGACTATCTGGTGGAAAGCCAACAGCATCAGCCTTCTGCTGCTTTTTGTATGAATCCTGTGAACCTTTTAGTGGTCAGTGCAGGTTTGTCATCTCATGCTGCAGATTCCCCTCTTAGGCATGAATTAGTGGTGGGTCCTTCTTTAAAGAGCTCAAGTGAAAGTGTGAACACTTGTCACAGTTCAGCCCTGACCCTGAGGAATCTTGATCCATCTAATCTGGAGTCTTTTCAGTCTCTTTTGCAATCCTCACAGGTTTCTGCTAGCTTGTACTGTTCAGTCCAGAGGCTTAAGCAAGAAAGTGTTTGATGGGGATACGAGGTTCCCTCCCTCTGCAGACTGAGTCTTCTCCAGTCATTGGCCATTCATGCTTTGCTCCTGATGATTTAGGTCCCAGTGTCCTGACCATAGGAGAACAGCTAGCTGCAGTAAAAACCAGTGCTGCTCAGGCAAGATTGAAATGGAGTGTCCCATTTGCTAAAGACTGGAGCCTTAGTGCAGTGACAAGAGTCTTCAGTCCTGCTGAGCCTCTCTCTGGCTCTTACAGATACAGATACATTGGCTCTAACACATGGAGAACCAAAATTTCAGGTGGCATCCAACCACAAAGCCTGGCTTCTGGAATGGGCTCTGGCAGGCTAGTGGATACAGAAGCAGATTCCTCTTTCAATTGCTCCCCTTTCTTCAGATGCCAGTCCCTGGTAAAGCCATCTCTGGAAACTGGTAGTCTTTATGTTCACAGAAAAAGTCATTCTTCTGGAAAGTTTGTTAAAGGAGAGCAGACATCTAATGGGGGGTCTCCATGTGTTGAGTCTTGGAAGAAAGACCTTTCAGCCAGTCTGGGTCCAGAGGGTCTGCAGGTGTTACTGGAGATAGATTTGGGGGGGGCTCAGTGGAATGTTGGTGTAGCCATGTGTGGGACTCCTACAGAAGTGTGTGTGAGCATCGCTTCTCATCCTGGAGATAAAGAGTTTAGACCAGGCCAGCAGCTTAGTGTTAAATCTGTAGAAGTCAACAACTCTGATGCTAAGTGCAGCAAAGAGTCAGAAGAGGTATGTCACTCCAGACCACGAGCAGCCAGAAGAGCAGCTGCAGTGGGCAGCAGCCAGTCCAATCCTTCGGGTACAGCGGTTGAAGAAGGCTTTCGTGAACATTCTGATGTAGATTGTATGAACATGAGCAGAGAAGGAAGGAGAAACAGATACTCCTACCAAAACAGCCGGCGGAATTTGGAAGCTGATGGCAATCTCCAGCAGTCTGAAGAATGTTCTGTAGAAAGGAATGCCAAAGAACCATGGTGCTGTGAAGAAGGGAACCAGACACAGAAAACTGTGCCCAGAGAGGTGAGGGTGTGGTCACTGTGAAGCATCTCTGTTCACAGGTATTACTTGTGCTTGTTTCTGCCACTTGCTAGAGGTGCAGAGTTGAGGTACAAGTGATGGGGATGCTTGACCTATAGTTTTTTCTTGTCACTGAATAGCCAGAATCTCATCTCTTACAGTCCTCCTTCATCCCAACATATGCATCTTTCCATCTCACGTGTTTCTTCCTAAAGACCAGCTGGTCAACTTGGTTGTTTTGGGATTGTAAACACCTGTTTATATTCTCTGATCTGCATGATGAGGGAAAGCATTAAACTGGATTTTACTCTGTGCATTGTTGCAGGGCCCTATGATTTCAGGCTTTTTGTGCCTTTTTATGTCTGAAGTGTATAAGAATATTCACAGAGCAATGGTGTGGGTGCAGTGTCCAAGGCATCCCACATAATGCATGATCTTGAAGCAGTCCTGCTCTGGTCTCCATCCAAAATGATGTGTGCCACAAAGACAAATTCTTCAAAAGAGTGGAGCAGTGTGAATAATTGTGAATTACTGTCTCTTGTCTGTTTGTAGACCTCAGAGGACAGCTTCTGGTCATTGAAGGTGAATGAGCAAAGGTAAAAAGACTCTGTGTTTAAGTATGGGTGTGCTGGTAGTTAACTGAGGAGCACTTCTGGGAAGTGGCTAAGGAGCCATGTCCCTAGGAAGATTTAGGTTTAGGACTTAGCCTGCATTAATCTGCTGTGGTTGGCTGAGGGGCTGCATCCACTTCTTTTCAAAGTGTTGTCATTTAGAATGGAGCATGACCTGAAATATAATTTCTGTATCTTTTCAATGCTATCTTCTAAATTCAGCCTTGGTTGTTGCTAGAAATGAAGAAGTGTTGGTATCATCAGTGCTACTCTTCAATGCAGCAAATTCTGATGTGCTCACTGCACAGTTAGAGAAGATCAAGAGCTAGACTTATCCATGAGCTGGAATTCAAATTTGTGAATGAGGTTGCTGCCTGTTTAGCAACAGTGATTCCTTAATTTGGTGTGAGATTGCATGTTTTCCATTCTTTAGAGAGAATGATTTGAAATAACCTCTTTACAGCTTGATGGCTGAACTCTGATTGCCACCTCCTGGCTGGTTTAACTTTCCTTTCTGTTAACAGGAACTCACCTCTGTTTTTCATTTTTAAGTTCCTGGCACTTGTGTGACAAACAAATCCTAACAAGGTGTTTCCAAGCCTGGAGGAGACATATCCTTTGGAAGAGGGCAGCCACACAGCTTTACAGACACCAGCTGCTTCAGAAGAGCTTTGGTGCTCTGCAGTGGATTGTGCACCAAAGGAGGACACAATTGGAGGTGGCCCAGCAGAGACATGCTTCAACTCTGCTAGCTGCCAGCTTCCAGAAGGTGGGCACTGGCTAGGGACAGTGGTGCCATGAACTTTCTGCTGTGCAGTCAGAGAAGGCACAAATCCTGTTTGGATAGGGAGGAGGAAGGGGTACACTGTGAAATTCTGTGATGTAGACCCCAGTACCAATACTCTGTCTGTAGTTTGTTCTAACCATGTGGTTTCTTCTTCAGTGGAAGAAAGCTATGGCAAAACAGTGCAAGAAGGAAGCTCTGCAGCCCGAGCCTTACTCCTATACCCACAGTTCATCAGCGGGGATTTTTGGAGTAGGAAGATTAGCCACTATGACAACCTCAGCTCAGCATCAGCTTGCAACAGGATACTCAAAGGAAGCAGAGCAGGCTCATAGGTAAGCAGAGATTATTCTTCTTCTGTTATCTTGGACAAAGGGAGGGTTACAAACACAGGGAAATTTTTTTCTCAAATGATGGCAGACTTGTTTCCATGTCCTTGGATCTCTTGCTGTGGGTAAACACTGCAAGAATTAGCAGTTTAATGTTAATAACTAAACAGTCCTATTTCAGAGCTTCTGTGCACCAGTGTTTGCAGTCTGAGTGTCTGACAGAAATACTCCTGTACTAATTCTTTGCTTCAGCTATCACCTGCATATGTGATAAAGGGATAAATGAGGTTGGAGTGAGGCAATACTACAGGCTCTAACAGTAGTTTGGCAGTAGAGGTGTCAAAAGAAAAGCATTTTGTTGAGGCTTCTAATTCTGGAGGCAGAAGAACAAGTTGAGACAAAAAGAAAGAGGAAAGCCCTGGATTCTGTTCTGTGAGTGCCTCGTTGGACAGCTGAGTGTTAAGGCATGTTTGTGGCTCTTTCAGGATGGAGGGAAAACTGTGGACACAGCTTCGTCATACGCAGAGAGGAGATGAGTTCTGCTGGAGAGTTGAAGCAATCAGAGACATGAGACAGCTGGCTGGTAAGCACACATTCCATAGTCTTGGAGGTATTCACTGTTTCACCAGTTTTTGTGGTTTGTGTCTAGTTTGTGTCTTGAGCTCTTTCAGAATGTGATCCTGCAAGTAGCTGGACCAGTATGTGTGATGGTGGAGGATGGCCAGTCACCATGTCATACAAGTTTTGCCTCATTCCTTGTATGAATTCAGCTGCAGCATGTGTTGCTCCAGCAATGTGAGCTGCCTTCCTTAAGTGTCCTTCCTCTGGCAGCTTGGATTTAAGCCAGGGAATGTTTGCTGTGTGACACGAAGTTGTTTGAAATTCTGCTATTTCTCTTCTTGTCAATCTCTTCCTTCCCTGCGACACAGCAGCTTTCAGACTGTGGCGCCTGCAGAAGGAGCTGCTGAGCAAAGAGGAAGCCAGGCTTTTGGAAGCTTGTGCTCTGCTGGAAAAGAAGAAGCTACGAAACATTTTCTGGATGTGGCATTCCAAAACCATGGAAATGAAAGGGATGCTAACACTGACAACTCAAATCCAAAGAAACTTGGTCTCCCGGTGAGTTGATGAGATCTGGTTTTCATGTGAAAAATCTGTTCTCTGTGAAAGTCCATGGAATAACAGAGCCAACCCAGACAGTAATAATTGTTCCATCTTAAAGCCATCTATCCTTTTGTTTTAGGAGTTAATAAAGATGAAGGTAAGGGTAGAAATATAAAAAGGAACTGCTGTGGCCAGAGATGTTATGACTTGCTTCCTGTGCATTGCCAAAACTTTTTTTGTCCTGACTTTTGATGTTCTGAAAGACCAAACCCAAGAGCAGCCACTATGTTGCTGTGCTCTAAGCACAACACTGTTTTTTTACTGAAATAAACAAATAGAAGCTCTGGGAATAGCTTGTGTCTATCTTTCCTGAACTAAACCTAGTCTCAGGAAGACACATAAGCTTGTATAAATGTTTTTCAATATTTTCCTTTGGTATTCTCAGGTGCTTCAGTACATGGAAGGAGACTGTTAAGCAGAAGGCACTTGACAGGTGCAACCTGGCCCATCTCAGAGCAGTATCACTGAGGAAGCACTTCCAGCAGTGGGTTGAGATGCTGCAGGTCAGAGGAGGTGATAAGCAGGCAGTGGTGAACCTCTTCCTCCTGCGAAGGAGGCAGCATTATGGTGAGCAGTTTGGGGTCTGTGCAGAATCTAAGCTTTAGAGGTGCTTAGGTTCCTTCCTTTTCTTGTACACTGAAAACAGAGGGGCTCAGATGACACAGGGTATGAGCAAACCAGAGTGGGCAGAGGACTGGTTCTGGGTGTGTCAGTGAAGCTACAGGGAGGTTTGTTGCTCTGCATCATAAAGCAAACATAAACTCTTAAACCTTGCTGAAAAGAAGCAATTTGAGGGTTGGGATGGGCTGAGTTGGAATGCCTTCAGACAATCTCTTGTTCCTTTATGTAACTGGTTAAGGAGCAGTTATGAGCTCAGTAGGTGACAAGACTGTGACAAAGAGGCTTGAAGGTGAGCCATCATGGACTGGAGAGAGACAGTTTCTGGAGAAAACAGTCTATTCTTTTGATGACTTCTGCCAAAAACTGAAGCTGCAGAGAGTATATCTGCTGTGGAAAACAAGGCTGTGTGAGCATCACAAGGCTGAGTGAGTGCAGAAGAGCCAGTCCCTGGAGCCCTGCCCCCATTAGTGTCCACTTGATTTTCTGAACCTTTTGCTAGAGCCCTTTCTACCCTATCTATTGTCCATTATGTCTGTGCTAGTCACCCCCTCTGGTGTTCTTCTTTCACTTTACTGTCTCAGTATCTTCTGTCTCAGTTCTTTCTCTCAGACTTTGGAGCAGTGTAAACTCAAAAAAACTCTGAAATTATGGCACCAAAAGTATCTCATGCAGAAGACAATTGAACAAAGTTCTAAGCACTTGCATAGAGCTGTCTATGAGGAACCTCTTGCCGTGCAGTTTTCTGAGGACCTCTCAACATCATCTGGCTTTGACAGCAGTGCACCAGCCACTCTGACCTCTCAAAGCTCACTGGAAAAGGTGAGAAGGTCTTGGTACACCTAGACTGCTCTGAGGTATTAAACTGCTGGGATTTTTCAGGGGAAAATGGCTTCTTCAACATGGTGTTGCCATCAGCAAACTGTGCTTAAAATTTAGTGCTGAATCTGTGGGGTCTTCAAGCTGAAATGAAATCTAAAGGTGTAAAGTCAATGGTCTCTGTGCCTTTTCTGGTTCTTCAATTAGAGATGTGGGAAGCTGAGCTAGTGAGTTTCCCTTGTACAGTTGCTTCTGTTTGTGGCTGCAAGGTGGAAGGGATGAAATACAAAGAGCTTCCTCACTGAGACAGTGCATATGCTCATTTCCTCTTTTCTCAATATAGAAATACATGTGTTTCTGGATTCGGTATGGAAATTATTAGTATGGAAATAACTTTCCCATCACTTAGATGTTTGCTCTCCAGTGGTGTCATGGCTAGCCTGCAATTCCTTTGGATGCATTTTGGATTTGCCTGAATCCTTGATAAAGAAAAGGAGTAATGACATGGTCAGAGCTGTTAGCTGGGCTCTTCCACTGTGAGGACACTCACCTCACAGCGTGTTCCTCCCTTCATACCTGCAGGAATGCAGTCTTAGTGACAGCAGCCAGCACGGCTTCTCCTCCCTTCTGACTGCTGAGGATGTCACACATATCTCATGTCACAGTTCTTCCCTTCAACTCCACCATTGCACGGAGCTGCCAGCTGAGCTGGGTGGGGAGCTGTGCTTGCAGACCTTCTTCCCTGGATCTGGGTGAGTTGGAGACTGGTTTTTTGGGATGCTCGTAGGAGTGACCCCTTGTTTGAACTGGCTGAATTCCTTCCTTCTGGATAATCTCTCATGTCATGTCACACCACCCTTCCAGGGGACTTTATTTTTTCCCTTCCCTTCCCTTCCCTTCCCTTCCCTTCCCTTCCCTTCCCAACACTTTTGTCTTGCAGAAGAAATTGGTTTGTGGGAAATCAGTTCCAGTCTTCAGTTCTGCAGAGTCCAGATAATAATTCCCAGCTTCTCACCAGTTACTCTGCATGGGAAGAGGTAAGGCTAGAAAACGTTGTGTAAAATGTAAATATACAAGTGTTTTCTGCATATTCAAATTTAGCAAAGAGCCTTTGCGTTTCAATATGTGCATATGGAAGGTCTCACTGCTATTTTTTTCTCTCTCAAACAGAAGATTTGGGAGATTGAGGCTTTTCTCAGGGTAATTCTTCCCATTTGTCAGCTGGGTAGAAGTAGGGCAGGTGTCAAGGATTTAAAAAGGATGTGTTAGACCCTCATGTCTGGGTGTTTGTGTGGGATGTATGGGTTAGCCACAGAGCTGGGCAAACAGAAGTGACAGTGGCAAGGAGAGACAGCTGAGCTGTGTGGTAGCTGATACAACAGCAGTTCAAGGCCTTTTTTTGCCTTTCTGGATTACAGGGCTGCAGTTCTGACAAGGAGGTGAAGAGTTGCTGGCAGCAAGCAGAGAAATACTGCCTGCAGAGGTGCTTCATTGTGTGGTCAGCTCGAACTCGACATCAGGTGAAGGCCCAGCAGCACTGCAGGCGCGCTCGGCTCTCTCGGTAGGGATCATGCTTTCCAGAATTTCCTAAAGCTCTCTGTTTTGAAAGCTTTACACTTGTTTTAATAAAAAAAGGAAAAAAAATTCTTCCTCTAGCTATTTTATTTTGTTTTCAGTGGGAGTTTTGCAGCCCATTATTTTGGGGTTTTTCCAGCTTCAAAATTACTATGTAGGAATACAGTAATTTCTGGTTTGATGGAATGCCTCACAAATTAGAGCAAGTCCAGCTCTGCTGATAACAAGTCCTGGTAACTTCTTATCCACTGAACTGGCTTTGCTCTCTACTGATTTCAAAGCTGAAGAGCACAACAGTCTTGGCACAGCCAGGACAGAATAGCTTGTCTGTCCATCATTTCTCCTGATGTTTAATGGGGAAAGGATGTTAACAGATCAGATGTGTTCCAAAACTCCCTCGTTGTATGTTGTTAAATTTTCCATTACAAAGGTGTGTATCTCTGTGAGTTGTTCCTACAGTCAGTGCAGCAACCTTTGTCCTTCTCAGAGTCTTTCTCAGCTGGCACCACTGGGTCATGGAAAATAAGAACAAAAAAGCAGCAGCAGCCCTAAAACATGAAGTTCATTGTGTCCAGATGGCTTTCAGCCTGTGGAAAAGGAGACTGGTCCAGAAAGTGGAAGTTGACCGGAGATTCAGGTGTCATGTTCACCAGATGGCTGCTGATGCTCTGTGGCATTGGCATTCCTGCTGGCAAAGTGAGTTACCCCATCCCACTGCATCACTTGTCTCTATAGGAGAGAAGCTCTGGCAATAGTTGGGATGGAGAAAGTCACACTTTTGGCTGTAATTCTGTACACTGCTCCTCTGGAAAGGCACATACTGCTCCAGGAGTTAGTAGGAGCATGTGTCACTGCATTCTTCTGGCTATCAGTATGATATGTGACCTGCTGTTTTGTCCTTTGCTTTATATTAGGGAAGATGCTCCTTTGACACATCTGCCTGCACAAAAGAGTGTTCAAGCAGTGTATTTTAGCAGCTGGGGAGTTAAATGGACTTCCATGCAGCATTCCTAGTTTGAACATGTCTCCTCAGACCAAGCAGTCAGGTTGGGAACAGGGTGTATCTTTTGGAGTGGCTTAACAATCCTGATCCCTCAAGGAATTCCTTGTGCTCTAAGTACTTGCACTGTGCCAGGGAAGAAAAACTCCCAATTTTTAACGGAAAACTGCCTTGCAGATAAGAGTGGAAATAATCTGTGATCTCTTGCAGGGAAAATTTGAAAGAAGGTCTGACTGCCTTGCAGACAAAAAACTACAGGCGAATTGAAAAGTCTCTTTAGCTGCTAAAGTGAGGACAGGAAATCTTAGCAAGTTTGGTCCCATTTGGTGTTTGCAGGAGATGTATTCTTTGCTCTTGTCTGGCCTCTGCAATGGAGAAGCAGTCATTGGGCTGAGCTCAGGAAGGTGTGCTCTCTCACAGGGAAGCGTGCTCTGGGAGAACTGCAGCAGCGATGGGCTTGGCACAGCTGCCAGGAGAAGAAGAGGCTGGTCCTGCAGACATGGTATTACCAAACAAGGAGGCAGAAATATGCTGTTTTATTCTGGGAACGTTTTCTCCTGCACAGGTTTGTTTCTTGCTCTCAAAGCATTTCCAAGGGAAGCTCTGCATGCAGAGCAATTTATGTAGTAGTATCCACTGTATTAAGAGCAGAGCTTGGATTTGAAGATGTGGATAGCTCATGTATAAATGGAGCTTCTGTAGGAGCACTTCTCTGAGGGTGTCTGTATTAAGGGGTCTCTTACCTAAAGCCTCACACCCCACCTCATTTTTCCCATTCAAAAATTATTTTCCTTCCAGAACTTGTATTCAGTCTTAGTTATGCAGGGTGGTATTTGTACACTAAGTGAGGGAGAGATGCAAACAAATTTGTGCAGTTTAAAATTTGAAAGCCTTATTTGCATTTCAGTATTTGCTAAAAGAAATAGTGGGCAGAGAGCTTACAGAGATCTGATGTTTACAGAGTTAGTCTTTTAGGTTTCTGAACACAGTGTGTTGATTTTAATTTAATGTGAAAAATTGAGATTGATTTGTTGCTGCAGCAAAGCAGTATAAAGCTTATGAAGGGAGAACCATGATATTTAACTCACCTTGGTGTTATTAAAATATAGGTGAAACTGTAGTCTGTCTTTGAGTCTTCTGTTATGTTGACAGATCCCAAAAACACAAGAATTTAATTTTTTTTTCTCTCTTAACCATGTTCAATGGTCTTCTTATTGGAAACAGTTTTGTTTGTAGTTTATGTTGTATGAGGCCTGAAGTGCAGAGAAGTGTCCAGCTGTAGTGAGCCAGGATTGTTGAAGTTTTTCTCTAAAATAATTCAGGAGGATAAGAATGAATAAGATTATTTATGCTAAGGGTTCATTTAAGGTATGAGAAGTGCAGGTTTGGCCCTGTCAGGTTTTCTTTTGAATTGCAGGTTCAGACTGAGAGGACACAAAGATCTGCAGAGGAAAGAGCAACTGAAAACCCACTAAAACTTTGGTGGCTATGATGTTTAGACTCTGCACTTACCCCACCCAATTGCATTTTCCTGTGCAAATCTATCTGTGTGCCTCCCTCATGGGAATTGTATTTAGGAGAAGCCCTTAATGTTGCTCCTTCCTGTTGAGTATGTCTCCACCCTTAATCTTCCTTCTGAGTCTCCTTTGATGAGAGTGCTTCTGATTTCTCACGTGGATGAGCTCTGTCTCGTTTGAGGGGGGCATTTTTTGTGCTGGGATAACCTGGAACAGCTTCTCTTGATCTTCCAGAAAGCCTGACAGGCACAGGATTTTCACACCTCTGCCCTGTGGTGCAGTGGGGTGATTTGCATAATGAAGGTCCAAATGGAACAAGGAATCAAAAGGATAAGCTAGAATTAAAAGCAGATTGCATTCTCTGCTTGCAGAGGAAGACTGGCCTCCTGTGCATCAGACTGCAAGATACAGAGAGATTATTGTGGGTGCAGATTTACAGTGCTGATAATAGTAACTCCTGAAGTTGTTGATTTTTTGGAATAAAATTGTCTTTGTAAAGATTCTAGTTGTACATCCCACATACACAGGGCCTTAGTCTGTGACAGCCAAGAAACAAAATCTGAATCTTGGCAACAAGCTGCTGTCATAAATGCTGCAAGCAGACTTCAGGAACCTTCTGGGTTCCATGCTGAAGGAGATTTTAACAGTTTTACTGTCATCCCATAATGGAAAAATGAAAAAGCCTTCATCAAGCACCATCTTTCTGGTCAGCTGGTAGCACAGAGATAGACTGAAGACCTGGCTAATTTTATTTCTTTTTTTTGGTGTGGGGGACCAAGTATGTGTACTAGGGAAAGAATTTGCTTTGTAGGCAAAGGAAAAGCACTGTATAAGATTCAGTTTGCAGAGGCCTTTGAATAGGAGGAAATACTAAAATGGCCAGAAGGGAGCAGAGTCTCTTAGGCTTTGAGCAGGTGAGAGGTAACAGTGCTGGGAACTTGAAGTAAAATGAGGGCAGGTTTTCAGCAGAAAGGTAGTTGAAGAGTCTGAACTTGCACCTCCCAAAGATGAGGCACTGGAAAAATACATAGCATAGAGGTCAATGCATAAAACTTGACTGCAGGAGTAATAGGAACAGGCTCTTTTCTTGTTGAATGCTTTTTGGCTTGCTTTGGCCATTTATGTGGGATACTGCAGGGCAGGTGAGAAGGTGAAATGTGGTCTGACATGGAATTGTTACTTTAGCCATCTGCTTCTTTTCTGTGCTTGGAACTGTTTTTCAGGTGCCTTGTCGCTTGGGCCCAGGTCACTGCATGTAAATTAAGGCAGCATGAAGCCCTCTCTTATTTTAAAAGAGTCAGAGAGCATCGTCTCCTGGTTGTGAGCTTTATTAAGTGGAGGGACAAACTCTGGAGAGCTGAACAAGTGCCAGGAGGGAGAAAGCACAAGTGGCAGGAGCCCTCTCCAGGTAAAGCCTGTCACCGCTGGCGAGTGGCTGCAAGAGGACAGCAAGCCCTGCGCCTGGGATCTGTGACTACTGTCAAACAAGTAAGAGAAGAGAAAGCTCCCTAAGTATGAGAAGATAAAGGCTCTATGAGACAGTTATTATTAACTCAGTGAGTCATGAGGCACCGAGATAGTGTGACAAGGCTTGTATAAAAACCTGGTTTGATTTGTGATGACTGCTTAGTCCCTGCTGTGAAATTTTTCACAGACTGTGCACACAACTTCATCACCATAATCTGGCACTGATTGCAACAACCATATGGAGCACAGCAATAAGGAAAGGGGACATTTTGACCAGAGAGATGAGAGCACTCCTTCCTCTCTGCTCAAAGATAAGATGGGATAATCACTGTCCCTGCAGAGCAGAGTGAGCTGCCAGAGTTACAGCTTTTTTCAAAAGACTCACAGCTAGCAAACTACAAAGAGGTCCATTGATTTGGAAGGGCTGAGTCAGTCCTGCTGGGATCTCATCTGTGCAGTTTCCAGCCTGGGGTCTAGCACATTAAGCTACCTGCAGAGCTGTGAGCCTATCTCTCTGGTTTGTGTGAGTGCTGTGTGCATTGTGTTTACTCTTGGCTGCAGCTGTGTTATTTCTGTTTGCAGGCCTGCAACTACTGGACCAGAGCAGCTGCCTTTTCCCAGTGCTTACGGCAGCGCAGCACCCTCATAGGTGTTAGGAAAAGCAGAAAGATGTCTCTCTCTTGGCCCACAAGTAAGATTCTCCCTCCTGTCTTCTTTCACAGACCATGTGGGGAGTGTGAGGGAAAGGGGATTGGTGTTTACCAGCTTAATGCCTGGGATTCCTCTGTGGAGCAGGAGCTCATGGCAATCAAACTCAGTTGATTTCTTCTGTGTTTAGGAGTTGAAGGACTAAGAGCTCTTGGCAGCTTTGATGTCTCCCTCTCTAGCTCCAAGGTGAGCTCCTGTGTGATTCCTCTTCTGTTTCTTAGAAAGCAGAAGAGGCAGAGAAGAAGATTCAGCACCAACTGGACTTTTCCCCAGTGCCATTCAGCGCTGGCTGATGATCTACAGGAGCCAAAACAGGGCTGAAAGGTTGCTGGAGAGACCTGATGTGGTAGGACCCTCTCGTGCACATGCAAGGATCCAGGAGACAGCAGAGGTGGACTTGGAGGAGGGTGCTAAGAAGTGGCTTGGGTAAGTGGAGTGCAGGGCTCTGGGCTTCCTTTTGCTGATACCCTCAGGGAAGGGCTCCCTTGTATGGCTGGTAAAGCTTATTTGCTTCTTTTGCCCACAGGAGGAAATATCTGAAGAGGTGGCATCACACAGTGGTACGGCGCCGGTGCCAGCATGATAGGAAACCGCTCCATCTGGCAAGGGGGTGGCATCAGTGGAGGGAATCCAGCAAGGTGGTGAGACTGGCTCAGGTGCTGGTGAGTGTCCAGTGCCACTGGGGTGGCAGTGATGGGTGTTACTGGGCAAGCCTGCTCTGCCTGTAGCCTCACATGCATCCTGGGAGATGAGACCTGGGGGTTTAACAAATACCAGTATGCACCAAAAATCCTAGTTTGCTGCTGTGGATAGTTTTTCCATTGTTGTTCTTGGAATGCCAGCTTGACAGACTGGCATATCCACAGATTTAGTTGTGCTTTGCCCTTATAGATGGGAAGCTGAAACGGGATTTGTCTAGATTGGCTGTAGACGGTGCAAAAAGATCACAGCAGTTATTATAATCTTTGTCCTCAGCTGTGTTCTTGATACATCCCACTGGTATCCACAGTTTACCAAGAGCTGTCATTTGGCTTCCCCTGCTGTTCATACCCCTGTTCTGCCTGGTTCCTGGGCATTAGCTGTGTGAGATGTGCTCTGGCCTGCCCAGGTAACAAGATGATGCCTGTATAGTGTGAGCATATACATAATCACTGAGGAGCTGTGCTGGAGCACAGTGGGGCATTGTCCTCTCCCCACGGTATGGGGACTTGGCCACACTGTGCTGGAGAGAGTAGCTCAGCAAGAGCTCTGTTATTAGTCCACTCTGTTTGTTATCAGTGCAAAGTCTTTTAAGAGGGACCCAGGAAAGCAATTGGAACAAGTGGGACTGGAGGGAAGTGAGGTAATTTGCCTGCCAGAGCCCAATTAATTTGTGTGCTGCCTCTTTTCCTGGCAGGACCAGCAGCGGCTGATAGAAAAGGCCTGGAGGGTGTGGAGACAAAGATACTTGCAAAGCTGTGTGGTGCAGAATCTTTTGGAGGAGGAAGCCAGGAGCCTCTTGTCTCAGGTAAGCATTTATGCCTTCTTCAATTCAGTGGACCTCAGTGGTACAAAAAGCACCCCAAAGTGTTCCTTATATCTCTCTCCCTGCACAATGCACTTGCTTAGGGAGAGGTTTAATACATAAGGAATGGGACTTGCCAGTAAAAAAGGAAAAAAGCTTCCAGCTTTACAGAGGTTCATCTCTGGGTGTTTTTCAAAGCTTTGTGTCAGGAGTCAATTTCCCTGACATGTGCCCCCTTCCCTGCTGTTATTAGTGATGTTAATCCCCTAATCCCCTGCCTCTTGAGACCCCACTCAGGGAAGAAACAGGCTCCACATCGGTGCAGGAGGACTGTGCACCCAGAGGCAAGCAAATCACTATGAATTTGAGCAAGCAGGCAAAGCCTTAGAACTCATATTTGGTTTGCTCCTCTGCCTGCCTCCCGAAGATTCATGCAAGATTAGGGCCTCCTTTAAGGAAACAGGAGCAGGTACTGAAAGTAGAGGGCATTGGTCTTTCTTCTCTCACATTGATTTGTAGTCTGCATGCCCCATATTGGCTCCAGGAGAGATAGAGAAGGGTTTTGAGTGAAGGCTAAGGCAGCTGGCAGAGCCATTGCTGCAAGGAAAGCTGTGTTCATGGGTTCTGTAAGAATGGCTGCAGCCCCTCAAGGGTAACCCAAGTGTTTGACTTGTACACTCCTCTTTCAGGCCTTTAGAAGGTGGTGGCAGCTCACAGCATTCCAGTGTAAGGACAAAGGATCCTGCTGAATGGAGGGGCCTGCCTGCAGCTGCTGCTCAATTCAGGACACGTGGAGGATACAGCTCCTGTCACAACAAAGAGGTGGTCCTGTGCTGTCAAGAAAGAACACTTTGCTCTTACAATAAAAGCAGTGCTGCCAGTCAGAAGGATGACAGCCAAAGAACAACCAGGAAGAGATTGTACCTAGTGAAAGGCCCTCTTTAAAGGACTTGTATCTTACCTCCTTAGCAACACAAACAGAGAATTTACAGTTGTGAGGTTGCATTCTCTTCTTCTCTGGACCACGCTTTTGCTGGAGTTCTGATTAAAGGTCAAAAAAGCCTTAGAGGCTTTCCTTTTACTCAGTGTTTTTTCCCTGAACAGGAGCTTGGTGTCAAGGGGGGAGTATGCAAATACAGTCTTAGACATGAGCCTGAGTTTGTGGGTGCTGGATCCTTTTGATTTCAAAGTCTGGTTTGGGTAGGTGCAAACACAGGTCTTTATTTTTAGATTTGGCTTTTACCCTGGAGGGGGGGCAGATTCCCACATGGCTCCCACCTCCTCCCCCTGTCTAGGTCCATCAGCTCTTCATTAAGCCTTTCAGTGGGTGGCCAACCTCCTGACTGCTTCCTGCTGGTTCATTTCTGTGCTGAATGGGCAAGGTATGAAGAAACCTGCTGGGAACAGCTGAGCACCAAAAGCTTTACTGAGGCTAGACAGGCGTGTCTGATCCCCAGCCTTCCCATTACTTGCCTCTATGATTGATGCCTTGTAATTACCCTGGATATATGAGCCCGGTCTCAGACAGCTGTAACAAGAGGGTCTGAACAATCTGGAAAAGGCTTTTCTTCCTTGCTTGTTTGAAAGAGATGCTCACAGCATGGCAGGGATCTTGAAATCCCACTGGGAACTACCCCAAGGTAGTTTTCCTAGCCTGTGGCAGCTTTGCAGGATTGTTAAATACACAAAGCAGCCTCAGTAGCTTCCCCAACCCCTTATTCCAATGCCTAAGGCTGTTAAGAGTCATTAGGTCAGGAAAGATAGGTTATCTTTCCTGATCTAAGCTTATCTTTCCCTACAGGCATTGGAAAAGAATACCTGACCTTGCAGAATTGAGCTAAATAGTGTAGCTGCTTACTTTTGGTAAATTCTAGGATTTACACTTTCTCCACTCTACCATGGAACTCAGGACTTGCACTGAAAGTGAAGGCAGAACTGCCCCAGAAACAATTGATTTTCTTAAGTTTTCCCTTGTGCCAAGTGATTAATTAGCAAACAACATGAATCTCTGCTAGAGCATGGCCTAGTAAAAGAGACGTTTGTATGCATGTATTTTATTGTATGTAACCTAGGCAATAGTGTGATTCCTACTTAGTCTTATCCAGAATGGAAATTCCCACAGTCCTATTAAAAAGAAAACGGTAAATACAATACAAGGAGAAAAGTTAGTAAGAAAATTTGGACCTTCTTCTGGAGTGACTGCAAAAGTGCCTGATGATCAACTATGAAAAAATACACTTTAAGAGCGCAATATAAAAGCAATTTTACCTTCTTTTCCAGTTTGGTAACTGCTGATATAATCCCCTTGCATAGGTACAGCTGACAGGAGTGTTTCTGTTCCCCTGCCAGCATTTCTGGCACAGGAAAATTACCAGAGGGGAAAGTTACCAGAACCTGGTGTTCTTCTGTTACTGTAATTAGCATAACCATGATTAGCAGCTCTTTATCCTGCAGACCCTGGCATTTGGGCTGGGTCTGGAGCCTCAGCTCAGAGGTTCAGGTAGTTCTGGCTAATGTTCAGTGAGAATGGCTCAGGGAGCCTTTGTGCTGGGGACAGAAGAGCACAAAGTGTGGGTGGATCAGAGCACCACCCTGGTCACGGTTTAGGAGTGTGTTCATTGTCAACACAGGAGCCGCTGCTTTCCCCGAAGTCAGTGGATGGGAGGAGGAGGTAAGAGATTAGAAGAAGAATTTTCACTGCTGAGTTGGAGAGTTCAACAGCTCAAAAGTATCCTCCACAACCTGCCAGAGGCAGTTTTCTAGTGGGAAGTCATTGTCCACCAGGTTGACCAAGTAGTAGTTGTCATGGATGTACTGGATGATCATGCGGGAGGGAGATTCCTCTTCATAGAGCTTGGCCCATTGCTCGATCCACAGGGCAAAGGCCTCATCCTGCCACAGGAACAAAACAAATCGGCAGTTGTGAGACATCTTCATGTTACTTAATGTTAATTTAGTAATGTTACTTAATTTAGTAACACTGTACCCAGTGTTACACATGACTGGCCAGACTGTGGCTTGTTTCTTCACAGTAAAAATGGCAAGAGTTAAGCAAGGAGCCTTATGCTTTCCAGTCAGTGGAAAGTGCTCAGAGCTGAAAGGAGACACATTTGCAGTACAATGGATGGCTCAATGCTGCCCCTGTATGTGTAAGAGGAGAAGAGCTCCTGTCCAGCACGCTGAGGCCTGGTACAGTAACAGCAGCAGCTCTCAATCCCCGTTACTGAGTGCTTTGTGTCTGGCAACAGCTCCTGCTGGAGCTGAGGGAGCAGGAGGAGCAAGACCTGTACCTCTGCAAGCCAATACAGCAACAGCCCTCGGCTGTGAGGAGTGTCACAGACTAAAACTAAACCAGACACTGAACTTCCAGGGCATCACAGCAATGTATCCAACAGAAGGCAGGACTCACCTTCCAGGAGAGGAAGCTTACAGGATCCACTACAGTGGGCTGGATGATCTCCCTTCCTGGGAAGATACCCCAGGTGACAGCATTGGGTTGCAGATCTGGAGCATTGGTGATATTCTGGCCCTGACAAAGGAAGGAAAACCTTTCTGAAGCAACTGCTGGAGCAGGGACTGAGTTAGTTAGGAAAAGTGTATTTACCTCTCCTTGTTTAGGCCCCACACAGCTGCTGCACACCACAGCTGATGTGCTTTACTTTCCCTTCCCTGAATATTTGGGATTTGTCTGTCTCCCAAAGGTGGTGAAAGGAAAGTGTCCTGTGAATAATGGCCTTACCTTGACATTGACAATATGGTAGTTCACTCGCAACTCGTACTTCTTCAGCACTTTGAGCAGTGCCATGACAATTTCGCTGGAGGTGAAGAACTCTAGGTATGCCTGCAGGGGAAGATGGAGAAGGGGGAAGAGAATCAGAGCCTTAAATCACAACAGAACTGGACAAATACAGGTAAACAGCAACATTTGTAGAGTCTGGGCTGCCTTGTATGTTCATCCCCTGTATCACATACTAATTTACTCTTGCTTGAGCCTCTGTAGTAAGTGAGCTAGGGAAGAAAATAATTGGGGAGAGCAGAGGGAACAGCCCAGGAACTCAAGAAAGCTACACACTTCCTGTTTTGCATCCACATAAGTACACAAGTGGGAAGAAACTCCAGTGTTACCACAACTGCTACACAAGGAAGCAGTCTGCCAGAATGCTTGGCAGAAGCGTGAGCTTAACCTTTATTTTACAGCAGTGTCTTGCCAGGGCAGCCCAGCCTGGTGAGAGCAGAACTCTGGGGTCTCAGCTGGCCTCTCCCAAGCACCACTCCCTGTCCTCATCTTTTGTTCACAATTCTCCCCGTGTGCTTATATAACCAAATTCTGTGCTTGGCTGCTCCCAACAACTGCTTCCCCTCCCCCCATTTTCTGGCAATTTCGTGAGATGATGGATTTCCCTCACCTCAGGGGAATTTCTTCCTTTGAAAACATAAATGCATTTGCCATCTGCTGGTCTCTGGCTTTACTGGTTTGGATCTCTTTCGAACAAGGATGCTTTGTCTTCCAGTATGAGCTACTTGCCTGGCATTTACCTTGATAGGATATTCCTATCACAGCCATTAGACAAGGCTCTAGGGCCTGAAAAGACTGACAGGGGGAGACAGGCATTTCTGTTGGCAGGCCAGGGAAGGAACGTGACCGTTGTCTATACAGCAAAGCACAGTGAATGGACTGGGGGCAACTGTGGAGAACTCCAACATACAGAAGGACAGAGGAAATTTTTAAATATATATTTATCACCATGAGATGCTGGGTGGTAGAGATACTACTTCGTTGATTCCCATTTTGTGAAAAATCTGGGTGCTTTGTGCATCACTGAATCAGATGCAGGGGACAGGCACGTGTATATATATAAAATGTCATAGCCCCACTCTAGAAATATGTTACCAATAATTACTTGCTGAGAGTAAAACCATGAATCTCTACACATGTTCAATAGATATTTTGAAGTGGGGGAAAATAGCTGTGAAGTCAGCCATAGAGATGGCATTTTAGCCATCTCTAAGACACTAAAGGAGCTTGGCCTTATCTCACCAAGAACGCAATAAGATAAGGTGCGGACAGAAAGATGATGTGGATGTAAGCTTGGGACCTCCCAGCCTAACAGAGACCAAAGTAGGTCAAACTCTTTGCTGCCTAGCCCAGAGTAACACAGTACCTTTTGGAAAACATAGCCTCCACTGGGCCCCCAGCCTACAATGGGGTCTGTGGATGGCTTGCCATTGATGTTTGGCTGGGAGTTGATGGTCAGGATTCCTCGTCTGTTGACCTTCTCCAGCTGGTCCTTCAGAAGGTTGGTTTCAGTAGCAAGAGGATCATCATTCCAAGGCATACATGTGACCTACCATGAGGAGAAAGGAAGGCTCACAATGGATGTAACAACCCTTTGATTACCATCTGGGTGTTGAAGTAATTCAGCAGTGCCTTAATAGTCTCAAACACACCTGCTTCAGGAGAGAATTCCCAGGTTTGGTTCAAGGGTTAGGATATGCACAACAGTAAGAATGACTGCTGAAGTCAATCAGTACTGTAGCACCTTTTTTTTTATGCTGAGCCTTAGCTCTGGCTGTTGGACCCCCTTCAACCAGTGTGCCAGCAAATCCTTTTGGATAGAGAAGTGCTTATTCTTTAGAAAAACAATGTGGTACCAGGAACAAGAGGAAATATGCACTGCTGTTTGTGCCACACTGACCATCCCTTCCTGGCCTCTCACCTTGTACCCATTCCTGTTGGGTTCTCCTGTGATGTAACATGTGAACACCTCAAAGACACTTTCCTCACCAGTCAGTTCTTCTCCCCACATCTTCAGAAGCTCCTCACGGGGAGTCTTGCTCTTCAGATAGAAGAGGTAATAGTCCTTCAGTTCCCCAAAAGCTGGAGAGGAGGAGTTACCCCTGTAAGGGGAGAAGACACAGACCTGAAGTCACTGAGGAAAATGAGCTGATTTGGTGATGCAAGCAGCAAGATAAGTACACAACAAAACCCACCTCGACAGCAAAAGTCTCAACATCTTGGTGCTATTCACCTCACCTCACTCAAATCCAAGCAATGGGGGACCACTTTATTAAAGCCACCTCAGGTGTGCCAGGACATCAGGCTTTCCTACCACAGCTCTGCCTTACTGCACAGGACAGCTTACCATCGGCCATTGGGGAAGTCATCCCACTCCTGAGTTCGATAGATGTAGCTCTTTGGCCTGGAGGCCCAGAAGATTGGCCGGACATCTTCCACTCTTCTCTTGGGGTGAGCGCTGACTGCCCAGGGCAGAGGCCGCCTGCAGGGGATGAGCAGATGTTAACACAGTTCCTCTGCTGACTTTCCATTAAAGGCTGAAAGCCTTTCCCATGGTGCAATTTGCACCTGGGGAGAAATAACAGGGGCTGAGAAGAGTTCAGGTTGTCAAGAAGTAAGACAGGAAACTCTTCTTCCTTTATGGAAAATATTTCCTACTCAGTTCCCTTACAGGATGCTCAGTAGGGTCTATTTAATGTTAAGATACAGGACTGACACCTGAAATTAGAAAAGGTAAAGGCAAAGCACTATGGGAAGCTACTTAAAGGAAAAATAAAAAACAGTTCTCAATTTTCCTTTGCTTTTTCTTGTCTGTGTTGAAGCCTGTGGACTCGGAGAGAAGTCCACATTCCCTTTCTCAGCTGCAGAGAACCCTAGAAATCCACAGTGGGAACACACCCCTAGCCTATAAGTGGTTGTGATGGGCATCAAAAACATGCTTCTTCCAAGTGGCAGCTCTAAGCTCTGGATTTTTAAAGTCCCACAATGCCTGCTTTAAAGCTACTTGACTAAAACAAATTCCTCCTTTGGCTGTCTCCTCTATTCCTCCCAGTTTTTGTTGGAGATATGTGGGAAGGGTGAACTACTAAATGCAAAACGTGATAAAAGAAAAAAAAAAAGGAGAAAATGAGAGTAGAGGTATTGACCCATCCATTATTTGTACCTTCATTAGACAAAAGGATGGACAGGTGGACGGATGGACAGAAAAGTGGAACTGACAGAAACCAACATTCTGCTCACCTTGGGTCCTCGTCCCATATGCCCAGGCGCTTCAGGACTTCGGTGGTAGCCACCTCCTGATTGAGGGTGTAGAAGTGGAGCCCGTGCACCATCCCACTGTCCAGCAGCTCCCGGCACATGGACACTGCCAGCTCCACCCCGTAGTTCCGGATGGCTGCGTCGTTGTCCTTGATGGGTTCGATCACATCTTTGATTTCCTGGGGCACCTCCAGCTTGGAGAGCTTCACCAGCTGGCGCAGGGAGTGGTAACCCTGGATGAGGATGCAGATTATCATTTCTCCAAGACCCGTTTTTGCCATCCCACTAACACAGGTACTTTATCTCGATTTTTGTGGCAGGAGATTTAGAACTGGGGCTCCTGGAATCAACTCCCAGGCCTCATCTCTGGGATGGGAACACAGTCCAGGTCATGTCACTTTAGGTGATTTCTCCCCACATCCTTGCCTGAGCCCAGCAAACTGACAGTAACCTCAGGACTTGCAGGGCATTGTCCTTTATATCCCTTTTTACCACATGGACACAAGAAACCTTTTCAGCTTATTAGCTACCTAAGAGTTTAATGTGACATAGCACCAACAGATTTATTACATTCAGCAGTCTCTCTTCCCTGAAATTTTGCGCAGGATATTTACAGACCTCTCCCAGGCCCTGACCCACAAATACCTAACATCCTAGATCCTTATTCCCTCCCCTAAATCCAAATTACTGGATTTCACCTGTATAGGGAAGATGCCAGGAATAATGGGGCAGGTAATGCCAATGGCTTGACAGTCATTCATGAACTTGAAAAAGGTTTCTGATCGAAAGAAAAGCTGTGTAATGATGAAGTCTGCTCCAGCACAGACTTTCTCCTTCAGGTGCCTCAGGTCTGCCTCATAGCTCTCTGCTTCAGGATGACCCTTGGGGTAGCCTTTGGGGAGAAGGGGAAAAAAAAATGAAAAGCATGGTCAGGACAACATGCAGAAATTAGGAAGTATCCAATCTGATTGTAGTGTCACAGCCCAGGTCCAGGGAGGGACTGCTGAGCTGATTTCCCTGTCTCAGACCCTCTGCACACTCTGCAAGAGAAGGCATTTACCTGCCACACAGATGTCGAAGTAGTCATCAAATTCATTGCGAATATGCTTAACCAGATCAACAGCATAGTTGAAACCATCTACTTCTTCCTCCCATTCCTCACCAATAGGATCTGAAAAGAGAATAAATCCACAGCTCTCTCCAACTGTTTGCTGAACTCAGATCTGGTAGTTCTGTAAAAACCTGCTATCAAAAGGACGACAGATGAACTCCCAAATCTGCAGTTTTACCTATGGACTGGTTTTGTCTGCCCTTGAGCTGAAGGGACTGCTGAGCTGAAGTGCTCAGGTGAAACACAGTCTCAGTATTTAGTTCCTGCAGAAGGAACCCCTAAATCTTCTCTGGAATTGCACACAACAGCAGCAGAGCCTCTGCACTACACATCACAGGACAGAAGGATTCACCTCCACGCAGTGCCATGATGTTCTTCAACCCGAGCTGCTTGGCCTTCTGCAGATGCCCTGTGATGTCATCCTTGGTCTGGTTGCAGCATGTCATGTGCAGGATGGTCTCCAGGCCACAGTAGTTCACTGCAGTGTAAGCAATAATCATGGAAGAGGTTTCCTTGTCAGCTCCTGGGTCCCCTGCAGGGTGCCACGTCACATCAATGAAGAGGGGACCACCTGCTCCCATGCGGTCAAACCTGTGGGGTTTAAAGCTGTGTCAGCCTACACCAGATATTCAAGGCACAGGGAGGGGATTTGGCTATCTTGCTCACTGCTAGAATGCCAGCAGCAGGCAGAGAGAGCTTGGATGACAGCAACAGGATAGACCACAAAAGTGTTGCACTAAGAGCTTAGCAAGTGGCTGATGTAAATAAGGAAAGCCATCCTCGAAGGCTGTATGGGGAAGAGCTTACAATTTTATAGAAAAAGAGGCAATGGAGGTGTTCTCTGTACAACAGACTTTCTCCCTGCAAGCTCTAATAGACTGATACAGCTTCTGACAGACAGCAATGCAAGTCCCACTCCTTTTAAGATAGGAGACTGTGCTGCAGCCCTCTGTGCCAGCTTGAACTGTAGAGGCCACAGGGCTTCCCTAATTTGTCTCTCTCCCACTCCAAGGTGGAACAGCTCCTTCTGTTCAGGCATTGGCTTATAGCAATTATAAAAAGAATTATGAAATACTCTTTTGTCCCCAGGTGTCCATGGTGGCTCCTGGCGCTCCAGAATAACTCCTAGCTCTGCTGTGACCTATCAGCTTTCATTTAGCACGTAGATGTGGATACCTATGTCAGAGGCTAAAACTGTAGTACAGAGGCACAAACCATAGTGGCTGGATGAATACTGAAAGGAAATGGGAATCTGTTTCAGAGATTTTGGCACACTGTCCATCAAGGAATATTTTCTGCTTTTACTAGTTACTTTTCTGCCCCAGCATTGTGCTTCAGACCCGGAACGTGACATTGGGGTTACTCCATCTTCCCAGGGCATGGGAGTGGGGAAACGACCTGGCCCCTCAGTAATCCCACCGTGACACTTAGCTCTTCAGGGCCTCCAAGGAAGACAAGTTACTTGGTGTCCATTACCCTCCTCAGCAGGAAAGCACAGCCCCATTACCTGCTTCATCACCTGGAAGGGGAGACAGAGCATGGGGCAGAGCCTGCCTCGTTAGCTATTTCCCTGCCCTCCACCACAGATACTTCCCCCTCTCCTACCCTGCAGCACTCACCTGGAGATGAGATTGACAGCAGCATTGGCTGTGCGTGGAGGGAAGAATTCCAGGGAGAACCACTTGTCTCCAGCATCCTGCCGGCGGCGCATCTTCTCCCGCAGCCGCTCGTGCCGGTCGGCGTCCAGGACAGGGGTGGAGCAGCGCGAGTTGTCCTTGGAGCTCTCGCTCCCGCTGCTGCTGCCATCAGACCTGGAGCTGGAGCTGGCACTGCAGCTATGCTGGGTCTCATTAACCATGGTGGGAGCTCTGGAGAGGGGAGCAGAAAGAGCACGGTCGGTACACGGGTCTCTGCACGGAGCAGGCACTGCTGGGCTGAGCAGCAGGTGATTAAAGGAGCCTAAGCCAAGACCAAACATCCATCACCATCACCTTTTGCCAGCTTTCACTGTAAGCTGTAGTGGGAAATCTGGTGAAAACACAGTAAAAAGCATATGTTTAGATAGTGCTGACAGTGATTGTGGCCTTGGGCTGGGCATGCCAGCAGATATTTTTTATTGTCTACTGCAGCTTCTTCTTAGACTGTATCCATCCTCAGAGTTTCCATGCTGTGTGTTCCCAAAAGGCAGCACTGCTTTACAGTGCAGGTAGGAAAGTCAGTGCTAATGGGGCAGGTACTCAAGAATGCACAAACAACTGCTATGTCAGAAACAAAGTACAGAATCCCCTCTGACCAGGCCACCCCTACAAACTGTCCTTTGCTCTCTTTGCTGGCTTCACACCTGCATTTCCAACCACAAGACACACCATCTCCACAGACAACTGTCCCCTATGCCAGTCCCATTGCACACACTCAACTCTTTACCAGACACACTGTTCCTTTGTCAACAACTGTGGCTGCTTGGAAACAAGGCCAGCAGGGACCATCCTCATCTCACTGTCTTGCAACAAGATCAGAAAGCAAAACAGCACTGCAAGTCAGTGGTACAAGATGGTTTAGGATACCAAACTCCACTTAGCTCTGCAAAATGTCCCATCCTGTGCCTTTAAAATGAGGTCAGGATTACAGACAGTGATGGAAGAGCAGCCATAAAATCTGGATCTGTGTTATTTGCTTTAGTACCTGCCAAAACGTAAAGTTCTCACTGGGAAGCAGCATGTTGTCCAAGCATTACATAACTCTGGAGCCTGTTTTGGAGGAAGCAGTTATGTGAACCACAACACTCTCTGTCCTTATCATAAGGTCTGTGGGTTTAGTTCAGCCAAGAAGACTTTGAACTCATCTTCTACCGTTTACACTTGAGTTGCCAATCAAACAAAACCCTTTGAGAGAAAGTCTACTTTTATCACCTGAGGAACCTCTCCAGCTGGCAGGAGATGTGAGAAAGAAGCCCAGGCCTTCTGTTCCAAGAGGAACTGGGAGCATTAGATCTTTTGTATACCAACATAGCAGCTGCAGTAAAAATCAGCGGCACAGACCCACTGACAAGTGAAGCAAACCCAGCTGGGTGCACAGTCACAGCCCTGACTAAGCTCAGAGGACTCTGTCTGACATCCACATGCACTAATCTGGGAGAATTATGCCCAAGCACACGTTGGTGATCAAGCTAGCGGCTCACAATCACATGCTGTCAGCTCCCAAGATCGCATTCCCAGCAAGCATGGCACAGCACTGTAGGCAAATCAAAGGAGCTTTGTTTTCTGATTTGAGATTTTAACACCCATCACATGGAAAAAAGGTTCAGGTCTCTACATCTCTATAAAATCAGACTGGCTGTTGAGGAAAGGTCCTTACCTTACTAGCAATATCAAATCATGAAGACATAAAAAAGGCACACTTAGATTTTTGTCTACAGGCAGCATTTGGAACAATTTCCTTACCATGATACGCATCACAGATTTGCTGGCAGATGCTTCTAGTTATTGCAAAGAGAAAAAAGATAAGCCTAAACAACAAGAACAGCAGCAAAGTAAGACAATTTTTAACACTTGTCAACACTCCTATCCTGTCTTTGTCACACTGCAGAGCTCAAAGATCCGTGGCTCAGCACATCCCTGATGCTCACTACGGATGCACCTGCTATGTTTTTATGATGCCGGCGGCATTCAAACTCCTTCCAGCCCTGAGCTGACACCGACACCCAGAGCGCGGAGTCTGCATTCCCCTGAGCTGTTTCACCCTCCAGACCAAGCTCGGCTGCCGCAGCTGCACGCTTCTCACGGGCCGCGGCACCCGGGGCTGCTCCGGGGCCACGCAGGGCCCGCGGCTGCACCCACCACCCACCAGCTGATGGGGCAGCGGTCGGAAAAGGGGAAAGGGCCGGAGGGAGCCCGGCAGCCCCGCGGGGAAGAAGGCGAGGAGCAGCACCTGCGGTGCCGGGAGAGCCTCGGAGCCAAGCAGGTCACCGCAGCTAACCCCGCCAGGAGCACGGCCCGGCGCAGCCGGCAGACAGCCGGGCCGGGGACCCCCGTGGGCGACAGACCCCCGCTCCCGGGCCCCGCTCACCTGCGGCCGCTGCCGGGCGCTGCCCGCGCTTTAAGGGCGGCCGCGGCCGGGCGGGTCACGTGCGACCCTGCGGCTGCCCTCACCCGACATGGCGCCGCGGGGCGGGGGCGGGGCCTCGGGGGTGCGGCCAGAGCGGGCCGACGAGGCGGGACCGGCGGGGCTGCGGGAACGCGAGGGACGGGCCCGCGGCCAGGTGGGACGGCGGGGGCGCGGTCGGGCCGGCTGTGGGAGCGGGGCCATGCGCAGGCGAGGCCAATCGGGGCCGTGGGGGCTACGGGGGCGCGGCCATGCTGTGTGGGCGGGGCCGGCGCGCGGAGTGACGCGCGGCGGGCGGGGCGGGGCGCGGCCGGCGGCGGAAGATGGCGCGGTGCGGGTGCGGGGCCGGGCTGTGCTGCTGCTGCTGCGGCGAGCGGGAGAGCCGCACCCCCGAGGAGCTGGTACGGCCGCCGTCCCGCCCTCCTTCAGCTGCCCCCTGACTCCCTCCGGACTCGTGCGTGCTGGCGGAGCCCCCTCACCCCGGGTCTCGGCCCCGCCCCACCCGGCTCTGGGGAGCGCCTGAGGCGGGCGGGGAGCGGTGCTGTAGTGTTGGGCCCCGCGCCTCAGGGCCCGGTGTCCCCACCTTAGGGTGCTGCTCGTGGCCCAGTCTCTTATCCGATGCTCGCCCCAGCCCCACCCGTTCCCAGCCGGTTCCCGCCCGTTTTGCTCCGGGCCTGGTCCTTCACCGGCAGTGGCGGAGCCCCGCGCTGTCCCTGCCCCGGGCCCATCCTTTGTCTGGGCCTCGTAACCCAGCGCCTGAAGCCGCTGCCCCTCGCAGCTGTAACGGGGAGTGGTCCTGGCAGGAGCTCTCTCTGACTCTAGCACTGCAGAGTGTCTCTTCAGAATTGTTGTCCTGTGCTCCCCTGTAACCCTTGCTGTGAAGGAAAAGGGATGTGGGTTTAGGGCTTTGCTCTCGGGAGCTCCTGTGTAGAAGTGATGTGTGTTCTGGCTGAGGGACAAGCTGTAAGGTAAGACCCTTTAGCGTTACCACAAAATAAGTGGTGATCTGGTAATCCACACTGCCAGTTTATCAGCAGCAGTGGTACAGGACTTGTGTATTTTGGCTTTGCTAGCAGTGTTCATGAACAGCTGTAATGCATTCGTTCCCTTCATGGTTTTCCTTTTCCTGCATTTGTTTTGCAGACGATCCTAGGAGAAACTCATGAAGAGGAGGATGAGATCCTTCCACGCAAAGACTATGAGGTGGGGAATTAACTAATCTGATATTATTGTGATAAGAACTGCAGACAGGTTGTGATCTGTTTGAGTTTTTAACAGGGCAGATACTCAGTATGGATCAGTAAGTTGCATTGACATCAGCAGAAATACCAAGAGTTACTGTGCTTGCAAAGAACTGTTCCTCATCTTTGTATGTTTCTGGGATAAAACTCCGTGAGTAGGTTGAATGTTGGCTCTCAAGTCAGATTCTTGTTGAGAAAATTCATTTTCAGACCCTGGTGCATTTTCCCACTTTTCCAGTGTGAGATTTATAGGCTCTGGTGGCCTTGTTTTGTGGTGACTATAGAAAGTATCTGTACAGTTGCCTTTCTGCTGTCTGTGTTGTCATGCTGGCTCACAGCACATCTTCCCATATATCAGATTCTGCTGCTTACAGGAGGTTTTTGCTTTTTACATCACTGTCTGATGGCCCTGAAGTATTTAGAACAGTTGCTGTCATTATGGGTGCCACCAGCCCAGCCTGTTACAGCTTGGCTTGAAAAGGTGAAGATGTGGATAGAACTAGTGGAGTTTTGTGAGTGTGAGTGGGAAACTATTGCAGTTAACTCTTTGCTGTGATAAACTGAAGAATTGATACGGTTCATCTGCACAGGAGTTCCTAGCTAGTATTCCTGTTGCAGTGAGAGGGTGAATATAAAGATCCAGTGTTGTCCCTGCACTGTCAAAGTGGAGACACATAAAGTCTAAAACTGTACAGTGTGACTTCTCTAATATAAAGATGTATAAATCAGTTGTGCTTCTGTTTGTTTCACTGTCTCTCTCAGCTTGAGCAGTGAAATTGTTCTGTTCTTCCACTTTGTGATTTTCAGGGTCTGACTGATGTAAATATTTAAATTAAGGTGTTTCCAGGACTATTATCTCCTACTGTTGTTTGCAGAATCTACTGTGGGGGTAGCAATGACTTCTGTGGTCTTTAACAAGGTCTTCTAGATGTAATTTTTTTAACAGCCTGTTGCAGCTGACTCCTAAATTGACCTTTTCACATTTCAGAGCTTGGATTATGATCGCTGTATCAATGACCCGTACCTGGAAATTTTGGAAAGCATGGACAACAAGGTAGGACCTTGTTCTTTCATAAGCTAAAACCGTCCAGAAATTGTCCAGAGAAACTGTGGATTGGAAGTGTTCAAAACCTTTTTGTATGTGGCTTTGACCAGCCTGGAAGGGGAAGGTGTGCCTGTCCATGGCAGAGGGGCGGAATGAGATGAGCTTTAAGGTCCCTTCCAACCCAGATCATTCTATGATTCTAAATATGCACTGCAGGAAATTTTATGGAAATTCTTTTCTTATTTATGACTGAAATTCTATGTGTTCTCCTGGTTTCTCTGTTACAAAGAAAAAAAAAAAGTGGAGATTATAGCTCCCAGCATTTCTTGTGATCCTCAGGTTTAAAGCAAGCAAGATGTTGAGTCTTTCAGTTTCCTATTTTCAATTTGCTGTTGTCACAGCACAATCTTCTATTGATTTATCCCTCTGGTTGTTGAGCTGTGGAGCCTAAACCCACCTTCCAGCAAATCCCTGTTTCTGTGTTGCTTTTATTTTACTTTTTCTTTTTTTTCATCCTCTTTCCAAACAGAAAGCCCAGAGATACGAAGCAGTGAAGTGGGTGCTGGTTTTTGCTATTGGAGTCTGTACAGGACTGGTAAGGATCATGCTGTTTGGGGAATGAGGAAAATTCAGGAGACTAAGCAGGAACAAGTTAGAAGTCAATGGCTAAGGAGTAAAGTTAAGAGGAAGCATTCTCTTTCATGGTGATGAGAGCTTAGTAGATGGAGTTGTATATTGGGAATTATAGCATGTTGTTATAGACTATTTTTCAGGAAGCCTTTTTTTTTTTCTTTCAGAACTTACTGGGTTTTCTTTGTAAAGTAGTCTGGCAAATCCTTTCATTTTGCATAAAGGAAAACTTGTCCAAAGGAAACAACTTAGTTAAAAAGGATGACAGTTTGTGGCTGAACTGTGAAAATCAGCTCAGCTGACTGTATAGCTCAGTTAAATATCAGTTTTCTTCTGTACCCTTAAGTATGTTGAGGGTGTTAAAAATGGTGCCAGATTAATACTTTAATGGGTACTAATTTGATGCAGAAGTGCATCTCTTCAGGAATAATGCTAGGATGCATGTGTCCCAGTGAGAGAGAGGGAAGAAATCTGAGTTTTCAAAGCTGCTTTACTCTGAATGATGTGTTTGTCTTCTTCATTTTCTGTTCCCCCGTGTACATGTTTCTGGTAGGACTAACTAGAGGGTGTCTTCATTATTTGTATGTAGAGATTAATGATGGCAATTCTGTCTTCTTTTTCCCAGGTGGGCCTCTTTGTAGATTTCTTTGTGCGGCTCTTTACCCAGCTCAAGTTTCAGGTGGTACAAAGCTGTATCTTTTACC